GTCTGGTCACTGTGTCCATGGAGCTCTGGTGTCCATGAAGAGCTGGTCACTGTGTCCATGAAGGTCTGGTCAAGATGTCCATGGAGGTGTAGAAGCCACAACCAAGTCCTTGGGTTCCACTTGGTCACCACATTCATGGAGCCGAGCTTGACCCATCCACATCAAAGTGACCACTGCAGATCCTGGTCCTGCTGCCCATGAAGCCACCAACCAGCACCCAAGGAGGTCTCCATGTCCATACGGACACCACGGTGGGTGCTGGACCCACCCAATGGTGATGGGATGGTCCCCAAAGCCAAACCCCTACCAGGTTGAGCCACCCCAGCTCCCATGTCCCCGGTGTCACCCAGGCCGCTGCCACCCACGGCGCCACCAACCCCAATGTGTCACCCAGGGCCACCTCTTTGTGTCACCCAGGCCATTGCCACCCATGGAGCCAGCCTTGGGGCCACCCCTTGTGTGTCACCCATGAGGCCATCAGGGAGGGGTTGGAGGACAAGGAGGAGGAAGAGCCCTGCCCCTATGAGCTGGAGGTGGTGGGATGAGGGTGGACCAGGAGGTCCTGGGTGGCCTTGGCAGTGGGTGGCAGGTCCAGGCTTGGCTCTGTCTTGGCCCCGCAGGGGGGGTGAAGTCATCGGCCCCAGTGCCACCACCTCGGAGGGAACTGGGAGAACTGGTTTGGGGCCTGCCCCTGCCTCGGGCGCTGGGAGCTTGGCAGAGGTGGGGCCATGGCTCCGTGGGGCCCCACCAGGTTCCTGCTTCAGGGCTCCTGCTGTGTGTTCTGCACCCCCCGAGGTGGGGCTGTGTCCCTCCCATGGCCCCTTGTGGACCCCCGTGTGTCCTATGTCCCCCCAAGTCCTACCATGTCCCTCATGGCCCCCAGTGTCTTCTTATGGCCCCCCCAATGTTCTACCATGTCCCACCATGGCCCCTCATGGCCCCCCATCTCCCCTCATATCCCCATGTGCCCCATTTCCCCCTATGTCCTTCATATCACCCCAGTGTCCCCCCAGGTCTCCCTCATGGCGCACAGGGTCCCCTCATGGCTTCCTATGGCCCCTTATGGCCCCTCCATGTCCCTTCATGGGACCTCCATGGATGGGATCTCCATGGATGGGATCTCTGTGGACCAGCCCTCCATGGATAGGTTCTTCATGGATGAGACCTCCAGGAATGGCTTCTTCCTGGAGCAGACACCATGGCCTGAGGCCCCGGTGGACACCATCTCAATGGATGAGCTCTTTGCGGAGCAGATCTCCATGGGAGAAGCTCACTACGAGCCCAGAACCTCCATGGGATGCAATCTCCATTGGCCAGGAGGCCACAAGCTCTTTGCTGAGGAGCTCCATGGATGTGGTGGGACCAAAGCCAAGATCCAGGTTCCTCCTGGCAGCAGCAGAGAGTGGGATCAGCATCTTCCAGGCATGATTCATCCCATCCACGGTCTTCTCCACCCTTGGCTGCTTCTCAGGCTTTTCACTGAGCCTGGAGCTGCTCCCAGCCCCACCAAAGGGACCATTGAAGAAACCTTCAAAGCACCACGTTGATGCTGTGGTCCTACCACCACCGAGGATGAGCAGGGTTGGGACATAGGGATGAATATGGGGATGGACATAGGGATGGAGAAGGATGGATGGATGGATGGATGGATGGATGGATGACGGATGATGGATGGATGGATGGATGGATGGATGATGGATTATGGATGTATGTATGTATGTATGGATGGATGGATGGATGGATGGATGGATAAGATGATGGATCTCCATGACTCCCAGACGGAATCACCTGTCTGGAGCAGGGTGGTTCCCTCTTCTCCCGCTGTTCCCTTCGGGAACATCAAAGCCATAATCAGCCTCCAGGACCAGGGAGGTGACACCCACGTTGTCCAACCACCCTTTGACTCACCCCACCAAGGCCACATCCCACTTTCCACCTCCACTATAAAGGTGCCCAAGGCACCAGCTCCCAACTTCCCAACACACAGAGAACTGGCTCCGACCTCCTCCATCAGGTGAGTCCCATCTCCATGGATGGTTTTGGATGCTCCAAGGGGGTTTCTCCAGCTCTTGGTGGCTCCATGTCATGGACTGGGGTTGGATGGGTTCAGTGGGAACACTTTGGAGTTGACCGGTTGATACTGGATGTCCCAGTTGATGTTGGATGTCCCAGTTGATGTTGGATGTCCCAGCTGATGTTGGATGTCCCATTTGGATTGGGAGATGCTTCTTCTTGAGCTCAGGGTGGTGGCTTTGGTGCTGAACTCAACCAAACCAAGGTGGAGGTGCAGGTCCAAGCCCACCCCAAGGTCTATAAGGGTGAAGATGCTCCAAACCCCTTGGTCACAGTGCCTCCAACCCATGCTGGAGGTAGAAGAACATCACTGAGGACCTTGGGACCAAGTGCTCCTATGGGTTGATCCAGTGGGGTTTCTCTGCCCCAGGAATGGCTCGTGGTGGACATGGGGCCTTCAGCTTCATCCCCATCTTCATCCTCGCCACTGCTCTTCTGTTGAGGACCCCCCAACCGGCGCAAGCTCAAGTGAAGGGCAACCAAGGCGATGAGCGTAAGTCCAATGGGTGGCCAAGGAGGGAGGATGGGGACAAGTGTGAGTGGGATGGGAATGGGACAATCCCATGGGAATCTTGATGGTGGGAAGGTTTGGGCAAGGCCTGATGGGGTTAGGAAGTTGCTTTGAACTAAAGCCACCTCATTCCATGTGGAGGAGGAGAAGTCCTGCATCCCATTGGGATAACTCCCTATAGGGAATTCTGTTCCAGCTCCATGGTCCACAGGGAGTCACCTGGATGAGGCTTCATCCCAATGGGAATATCTTCCTTTCTTCTGGCCTCCACAATGATGTTCTACCAAAGGAGAAGCCCAGTGGATGTGTCTCAACAGGGTGGAATCCAGGATGCAAAGGGCTTGGATCTGCCCCAGTCTTGGTGTTTCTTCACCCATATCAGTGTCCACAAAGCTGCTTGTGGGTCTTTTGGAGGTGGTGACCAGCCATTGGCTGGATGAGCCTTGGTGGACCACTTGGGATGGAGACACCATCGTGTTGCTTGGAGCTCTGGTTGCCTCTGGGAATCCAAGGGGATGGATCCCACCATCCGTCTCCTTTACTTCCACCTCCATTGATGGACCTTTGAGCTGGTTCCTCTCTCCTGTGAAGCCCAGGGAAGCTGCTGAGATGCCTTCAAGGAGCTTGGTGGGATCTAAACCTACCAGGATGGTCCTTGGGATGAGCAGGGATGGACTTTGGCAGCGCTGCCAGGACCGGATAGTGGTGAATTCCAAGCGGCTGGAAGCTGGGGCGTCTCCCACTGCCACCCAGTACAAACCAGTCCCACTCGTAGATTCCAATGTCCCAACCTCCTCTGGGAAGGCTGGACCATTCCAGATGCCACCTTCTCCAATGAAGGACAATGCCTGGAAGTCCTCAAAAGAGGACCGAACCAGCTGGAATGTCCCACATTGTAGAATGGGTGTTGGAGAACCCATCTGGAGGTTCTACTGCATGGTTTGGGGTGGGAAGGGGGTTCTTCTATCGGAAAAGCCTCATTTTTGGGTACTGATGGTCATGACTTTAAGGTGGTGATGGGCTCAAGGTGGTGATGGGCTCAAGGTGATCATGGTCCCGATGTGGTCATGGTCTCAAGGTGGTCATGCTCCCAATGTGGTCATGGTCTCAAGGTGGTCATGGTCTCAGTGTGGTCATGGCCTCAATGTGGTGATGGGCTCAAGGTGGTCATGGCTCAAGATGGTCATGGTATTAAGGTGGTCCTACCTTCAGGATGGTCACCCCATAAGCCTCATTTATCATCAATACCCTGGCAAGGTGGAAGAGGACCTCATCTTGTAGATGTTGGATGGGGTGGGATTAGCTTCTCAGCACCATTTTCTCCAGTGTTGGACAGCTCTTCAAACCAAGGCAAGATGGGGAGATCCATGCTAGACCTTCACCTGATGGAAGACCCAAAGACCTCCCAAACGACACTGATGGCCCTTGGCTGCTTCTTGTCAACCAACCTGATGGACCTGAGCCACATTCCTCACATTCCTCTTATCGCTTCCCGCTGCGTCAGGGCCTCTCCTGCTTGGGTTGATGCAACCAGCTCCTACCTCGGTCCTAGATGGGCATGGAATGAGCCATCCCAGAGGTCGGGAGCGTTGGGAGCTGGTCCTGCAGGCTTTCCACCAGCTCTTTGGACGTGTGTCACCTCCAACCTTGACCTGGCAGGAACCTCCGAGGTGGAACATGAGGCCCCTCCCTGGAACCCAGAGGAGATCAGGGGCTCCTGGGGACCTCCTGGTGCTTGGTGACCCCCAGGACACCGCATGGACGTGAGGAACTGGCCCCAAGGATCTACTAAAGGGAGGTCCCTCCTCCATCCCCTGCCTGCTTATGGAGCCCATGGACCTTCAGTGCTTTGAGCACTTGGAATCACATGCGGGGCCCAAATCTGCTCTTTTTACCCCAAAATCAGATCGGGTTTACCCCAAACCATCTCTTTTTACCCCAAATCTTTTTTTTTTCCCCTAAAATCATCTTTTTACCCAAAATAATCTATTTTTACCCTAAATAATCAATTTTTTTCTCTAAAATAATCTTTATAACCCAAATAATCCCTTTTCCTCAATCATCTCTTTTTCCCCAAAACCATCCTTCTTGCCTCAAAATCATCTTTTTTAAAAAAAATCCCCTTTTCCCCCCAAAACTGTCATTTTTGCCCCCAAATCCTTTCTCCCCAAAATCCTCCTTTTCCTCCAAATAATCTCTTTCCTCCCCAAATACTACCTTTTTTTTTTTCCCTAAATCCTCTCTTTTTACCCCAAAACCATCTGGTTTCCATCCAGGAACTCACAGAGGTGGGACCTGAGGAGGGTGATGGGTGACTCTTCACCTTGACCCATCATCTTGGCCACCATCTTGACCCATGAAACCCTAAACCCACCCATCTTTGCGGGCTTGAAGATGCTTTTGGCATCTCCTTCTGGCACTTGCAGTCTCCAGCCATGGAGACCTTCCCCTCTTCTCTTCCTGAAGCCTTCTTCTTGTCAACCTCACCCCACCAGGTTGCTGTGGAGGACCCCGCTGTTGGTGACATCTCATGGTGCCCCTTTGGTGTCTTCCAGTGCCGGAGGAGGACGAGTCCCGTATCATTGGGGGGAGGCCTTGCTCCATCAACCAGAGACCCTTCCAAGTGGCCCTCATCAAGAGAGGGCAGATCCTATGTGGAGGAAGCTTGGTAGATGCCCAATGGGTCCTCACAGCTGCCCACTGCAAGCAGCCACCCAGGTAAGACCCATGCGCCCCTTGCTTCCCAACCAGCCAATGGGGAGAGGTGGGGTTGATTGGTGCCCAGATGTTGGTCCTTCTAGAAGATAGTGGGAAGCTTCTGTGTCCATGACCTCACTTTGAGTTACGGGGTCCCTTGAGGTTTGGGTTCCACCAATGAGCTTCTACTTGAGTTACGGAGCTGCATGGAGATGCACCATGGGACATGATGGGTCCATACAAGGGTTGGGTTCCACCAATGACCTTTTGCTTAAGAGTAGGTGCCCCCCCCCATAGCCACAGATCTCCAGCTTCTCCATAAGATCCCATGAGAGGAAATGGGACCTCTGGAAGGGCTTCTCCTAAGAAGATGCTGGGTTGAGGGACAACGGAGTTGAGATGTTGTCCATGGAGGAAGATGAAGCCAAGGACTTGAAGAGATCCTCCAGGAGCCATCATGGATCCTCAAGTCATTCCTGCTCTTTCCCTCAAGGGAAATGGGATAAGATGGTCCCACCTTCACCCTGAGCATGGAGAAAGCTCCAAGGCCTTGAGATGTCTCCTTTGGAGCTGCCACCACTGAGTCCTTGATCTTCCCCATGCAGGGACCTCAAGGTGCTCATAGGGACAGACACCTTGAGGGAGGGCACAGGACAAGTCAGATCCATCTCAAGGCTTCTGGTCCACCCGTCCTACAACCCACGAAGGAATGACAACGACTTCATGCTCCTGAGGCTCAACCGGCCCGTCCACTTCAGCAGCAGCATCAAAAAGATCAGGCTGGCCACCAGGTGCCCTATGGATGGGATGAGGTGCAGTGTTTCCGGCTGGGGGACCACCAAGTCTCCAGGAGGTAACTGGTTGGCGCAGGAGAGCTCAAGGGAAGAGCTTGAGATGGGGTGGAAGAGGCATCTCCAAGGAGAGCAAGTCCGCATGGAGAACATAGTCTACTTGGGTTCTTCTTTGGGGTGTGGGTTCCTTTGGTGGTCCTCAACACCATCCCAACCAACCTCCACCATCCCAACCAACCTCCACCATCCCAACCCATCTCCACCATCCCAACCCATCTTCACCATCCCAACCCATCTTCACCATCCCAACCCATCTCCACCATCCCAGCCCATCTCCACCATGCCAACCCATCTCCATCATCCCAACCCATCTCCACCATCCCAACCCATCTCCACCATCCCAGCCCATCTCCACCATGCCAACCCATCTCCATCATCCCAACCCATCTCCACCATCCCAACCCATCTCCACCATCCCAGCCCATCTCCATCATTCACCAGCCAAAGGAGCTCATCCAAAGTGGGACAAGGTCTTCTCAGGCTTCATTGTGGGTGGGTTTGGACCTTCTCAAGCTTCTCCTTGTCCATCCCCACCTTGTTCTCCAGCGAAGCTTCCTCAGAACCTGCAGTGTGCGGCCATCCAAGCCTTTGGGAGGGACAAGTGCACCAGGGCCTATGGCAACGCTATCACCCCCAACATGTTCTGTGCTGGTGTCCCCCAGGGAGGGGTTGACTCCTGCCAGGTGAGGTCCCATCAAGCACCTTCTTTTGAGCTCCAAACCCAAGGGGAGAAGGGCTCTGGTTGGGTTCCTTCAAGCCATGGACCAAGCGGTGGGTTCATGTGAGGTTTGGGTTCCACCAATGACCTTCTGCTCAAGCCATGGAGATGGGGATGGGTCCTGGAGCACGCTGGGTCCATACAAGGGCTGGGTTCCACCAATGACCTTCTGCTCAAGCCATGGAGATGGGGATGGGTCCTGGAGCACGCTGGGTCCATACAAGGGCTGGGTTCCACCAATGACCTTCTGCTCAAGCCACGGAGGTGGGGATGGGTCCTGGAGCACGCTGGGTCCATACAAGGGCTGGGTTCCACCAATGACCTTCTGCTCAAGCCACGGAGGTGGGGATGGGTCGTGGACCACGCTGGGTCCATCTGAGCTTTGCATCCCCACCACCAGCCTCCTTCTTGACTCCCCCAACTAAGCCTTCACCCCAACACCCAAGATGTCCATGGGCGTTCTTTCACCGCTGTCTCCATCCCATCAAACCCAGCCCCATCCAAGCCCTTTCCTAAGGTCCATACGAGCCCCACCTGAGGTTCCTCTCCCCACAGGGTGACTCTGGAGGCCCCTTGGTGTGCAATGGGGTCCTCCAAGGGGTCGTCTCCTGGGGCATGGCTGTCTGTGGGCGCCGAGGACAACCCGGGGTCTACGCCAACGTCTGCAGGGCCGTACCTTGGATCAGGAGGGTCATTGGGAGGTCCTGAGGCCTCCATGGGGCACCTCAGTGGGGTCCCAGCAGCTCCCTTCTTACTGGGGAACTGGGAGCACTGGAGGCCTGAGAGCTCCGTGGGGCACCCCGATGGGTCCCATCAAGTCCTTGGTGGAAACTGGGGGGGCAATAAAGGAGAAGAGTGGAAGTGGAGTCATGGAGTTAATGGGGCAACTGGGAGCCGTAGGGGGCAATGGGAACTGGGAACACTGGGAGCAATGGGGGGCAATGGGAACTGGGAGCACTGGAAGCAATGGGGGGCAATGGGAACTGGGAGCACTGGGGGAAATGGAGACACCCCCATTGGGTAGCCCAGGAGCCAACTTGAAGTGCCAAAACCGGTCACCCCAGTTCCCAGCAGGAGCTGGCAGGGGCTCAAGGTGGGAGGTGTCAGCGGAGGGCACTGGGGTGAACTGGGAGGCACTGGGATGAGCTCAGAGGCACTGGGATAAGCTCGGAGGCACTGGGAATGACAGGAAGGACACTGGGAAGCACTGGGATGAACTGAGATGAACCTAGGAGGCACTGGGAAGGATGGGAAAGGCACTGGGGTGAACTGGGAGGCACTGATAAGCACTGGGAGTCATTGATTGGCCCATGCCTACCCCAAAAGCCTCTGATTGGCCCTTACCTGCCCCAGCTGGCTCTGATTGGCCTGCAGCCACCCCAACAGCCTCTGATTGGCCGACACCTGCCCCAGCTGGCTCTGATTGGCCCATACCCACCCGGGCGGGCTCTAATTGCCCAGTCTGGCTCTGATTGGCCAGCACCTACTCTGCCCGGCTCTGATTGGCCCGTTCCCACCCCAGGGGGCACCAATACACCTGTAACCCACTCTTCCCAGCTCTGATTGGCCTGGAGCCACCCGGGTGGGTTCTGATTGGCTTAGACGACTCTGATTAGCCTGTGCCCACCCCAGACAACCCTGATTGGTGCAGGGCCACCCTGCCTGGCTCTGATTGGCCCGGGGCCCCCCAGGCGGGATCTGATTGGCCCAGGGCCGCCCCAGCTGGCCGCCCTGGTTGGACTGCTCCGACCAGCCCAGGCGGGGCCCGGCTGGATTTAAAGGGGCTGGAGCCGGGTCCCCACCAGGTGCCGCTTCCTCCTCCTCTTCCTCCTCTGCTTCCTGCTCTGCTTCCGCCTCTTCCTCCCATCACCATGCAGAGATTCCTGCCCGTGCTGCTCCTGGCCACAGGTGAGGGCACTGGGATGAACTGGGATGGACTGGGAGGCAGTGGGAGGGACACTGGGGGGGATTGAGAGGAACTGGGATGAACTGGGAGGGAACTGGGGGGGCACTGGGATGAGCTGGGAGGCACTGAGATGAACTGGGAAGGGACTAGGGGCACTGAAGGTGAACTGGGGGGGACTGGGATGGACTGAGAGGGACTGGGAGACAATGAGGGGCACTGGGGAGCACTGGGATGGACTGGCATGAACTGGGAAGAGACTGAGGGGGGGGCACTGGGATGTACTGGGAGGCCACTGGGAGGCACTGGACCATAGTGGGAAGGAGCTGGAGGTGAACTGGGGACACTGAGAAGCAGTGGGAGGGCCCTGGTGTGGGTAAGAGGGAAAGGGAAGGGACTGGGGAGCCCTGGGATGGACTGAGAGGGAACTGGAGGGGGAACTGGGGGCAGTGGAAGGGAACTGGAGGCTCTAAGGAGGAAATGGAGTGATGCAAGGAGGTACTGGGAGGCACTGGGAGGCTACTGGGGGCCACAAAGGGGAAATGCGCCAGGATTGGGAAAGAACTGGGAGGCACTGGGAGACAATGGGAGGCAGTGGGTGGGAAGTGCCAAGTCACTGGGAGGGCACTGGGAGGGTGCCGGGTGGGAAGCGATCAGTCACTGGGAGCACTGGGAGGGCACTGGGAGGGCACTGGGAGGCACTGGGTGGGAAGGGAAGAGCTGGGTGGCATGGGGTGTCCCAGGAGGACTTGGAGGTGGCAACTGGGAGGCACTGGGAGATACTAGGAAGCAACTGAGAGACACTGGGAGGTAAGTGGGAGACACTGGGAGTCCCTGGTGTCTCCCCATGTCCTGCAGTGGCCACGGGGGATGAGACGCGGATCGTGGGTGGCCAGAAGTGCCAGAAGAGGCGTCACCCATACCAGGTTGTTCTCTTGGGCCCCCAGAAGAACATCCACTGCGGTGGGGTCCTCATTGGAAGCTCCTGGGTGCTGACGGCCGCCCATTGCGACACTAAGAGGTGGGAGGTCCCCATGGGTCAATGGGGTTAGGTGGGAGGGCTCCACAGGTCAATGGGGTTGGTGGGAGATCCCTACTGGTCAATGGGGTTAGGTGGGAGGGCTCCACAGGTCAATGGGGTTGGTGGGAGGTCCCTACTGGTCAATGGGGTTGGGTTGGAGGGCCCCATTGGTCAATGGGGTTGGTGGGAGGTCCCTATTGATCAATGGGGATGGGTGGGAAGGCCTGACTGGTCAATGGGGTTGGTGGGAGGACCCCACGGGTCAATGGGATTGGTGGGAGGACCCCACAGGTCAAGGGGGTTGGTGGGAGGACTCCATCTCCTCACCATGGACCTTCCTTTGATGGACAAGGAGGATCCACCATGGAGAAACAGGGAAGAACCCCCCCAGTTGAGCCTTTTGGTGGCCACTTGGACCTCCAGGTCCTCACGTTCTCGAGCACCGCAGAGGTCTCCTATTGGGTTGACCTATTGGGTGGCTTTGGCCTCCCTTGAAGCTAGGGTGGAGGAGAAGCTTTGGGTCCTATGAGGAGCTCCTCCATGGTCCTTTGTCCATCCCGCAGCTCCATTCCCATCCGCATGGGTGACCACAGCTTGAAGACCAAGGAAGGGACGGAGCAATGCATCTCCTCAGCCAAGGCCTTCATCCACCCCAACTACAACCCCACCAGCCATGACAGTGACATCATGCTGCTGAGGCTCCAGAAGCCTGCCCGATTCACAGAGCACGTCCACCCTGTGGCTTTGCCCAAGAGGTGTCCGCCCCCCAACACCGAGTGTGTGGTGTCGGGCTGGGGCAGCACCAGCAGCCCCGAAGGTAGGTGGGGACGACGCCCGTAGCACCATGGACAGCGGTGGCAAGGGGCTTGGATCTCGATGGCTTTTGGGTGTCTCGACGGCTTGGGGGTATCTCTATGTCTTGGAGGTATCTCAATGGCCTGGAGGTATCTCAATGGCCTGGAGGTATCTTAATGGCTTGGAGGTATCTCAATGACTTGGCGGTATCTCAATGGCTTGAGGCCATCTCAGTGGCTTGGAGATATCTCAGTGGCTTGGATTTATCTCAATGGCTTAGAGGTATCTCAATCGTTTGGAGGTACTTCAATGGCTTGGAGGTATCTCAATATCTTGGGGCCATCTTGATGGCTTGGAGGTATCTCAGTGTCTCAGGGCCATCTCAATGACTTGGAGGTATCTCAATGTTTTGGACGTATCAATATCTTGGGGCCATCTTGATGGCTTGGAGGTATTTCAGTGTCTCGGGGCCATCTCAGCGGCTTGGAGGTATCTCAATGGCTTGGAGGTATCTCAGTGACTTGGGGCTTGGAGGTATCTCACGTGGTGACCTGGCTCCTTCAGAGGTTCACTGGGTGCCTTTGGAGCTCTCCATCCCCCCTTCACCTTGAGGGCATCTCCCATAGCATGGTGCTACCTTCAGATGGAGAAGACTCCATTGGACGCACTGGTCCCACAGGACCTACAACCAAGCCCCATTGTCCCCAGGCTACTTCCCTGATGTCCTCCAGTGTGGTGTGGTCTACACCATGGCCAACGAGGAGTGCAGCAGGATCTACCCGAAGGGCATCACCAAGAACATGCTGTGTGCTGGTGTCAGCACAGGTGGCACTGACTCCTGCCAGGTGGGTCTAGGGGGGCTTCATGGCTCCTGTCCCACACCTATGGGGTGTCTTTGGGGTGGAGAACCTCCATGGAGAAGAAAGGGGGGCTAGGAACAACACTGAGAGGTCTCTTGGTGCCGAGGGGCAAGAGAAGCACGATGGGGACCACTGGGTGCTATAGGGGTCATCTGGGTTCTATGGCTGCTATGGGGACCACTGGGTGCTATGGGGACCACTGGGTGCTACAGGGACCATCCAGGTTCCATGGGTGCCATGGGGACCACTGGGTGCTACAGGGACCATCCAGGTTCCATGGGTGCCATGGGGACCCCCAAGCTCTATAGGAGCACCCTGGCTGCTATGGGAACCCATAGGACATGGTGGTTTCCATGGCCTGACCCCATGGGCCATGGTGGTCTCCATGACTTGACTCCATCATCATGGTGGTCCCCAATGGAGAACCATGGCACTTAAACCCTCCCTGTGTGCTGTTGGGGTCGATTGGAGGCCCCCACCATGGAGCCACCGCATAAGCTCCTTGTCTCCCATAGGGTGACTCAGGAGGTCCCCTCGTGTGCCGGGACGAGCTCCAGGGCATCGTGTCCTGGGGGATGCAGGTCTGCGGACAACAGGGCAAGCCCGGGGTCTACACCCGCGTGTGCGAGTTCACCTCCTGGATCCAGGACACCATGAGGAGGAACAGACACGCGTGAGCCCCTGGCGGGAGGAAAATGTCTCCTCCTCCTCCCAGCCCGGACCCATCTGGTGTCGTCTTCTCCCTCCTCCCACCCCCTTATGGCACCTTCGGCATGGAATAAAGCCCTGGGAAACGTGGCTCCACCACGGGCATGGAGGTCGTGGGGAGGAGCGGGGGGGACCACGGGAGGTGGTGGCCATGCGGGACAGCTCGTGGCCGTAGGGATGTGGGGCTGGGGGCCATGGAAGTCACCTTCAAGCGCGTATCTCCAATACCACCTGCATAACCCACCATCACCCGTCCCTGTGTCTCCAGAACTCCATATCCCACCTCCAGACCCCACCACCTCCATATCCCACCTCCAGAACTCCATATCCCACCTCTGTAACTCCATAACCCATCTCCATACCCCACCATCTCCATATCCCACCTCTATATCCCACCTCCAAAACTCCATATCCCAGCTCCAGAATTCCATATCCCACCTCCATAACCCCATATCCCACCTCCATATCCCACCATCTCCATATCCCACCTCCATAACTCCATATCCCACCTCCATAGCTCCATCTCCCCTCTGTATCCCACCACCTCAATATCCTATCTCCATAACTCCATATCCCACCTCCATAACTCCATATCTCATCATCTCCATACCCCACCATCTCCATATCCCACCTCCACAGCTCCATCTCCCACCTCCATAACTCCATCTCCCACTTCCATATCCCACATCTATAACTCCTTCTCCCACCTCCACATCCCACCTCTATAACTCCCTCTCCCACCTCCACACCCCACCACCTCCATACCCCACGTTCATAGCTCCATCTCCCACATCTGTATCCCACCTCCGTAACTCCATCTCCCACCTCCGTAACTCCATCTCCCACCTCCGTAACTCCATCTCCCACATCCATCCCCCAGCACCCCAACCCCTCCCCATCTCCTCCCCTCCATCCACCACCTCCGAGGTGAGGCAAGTCCAGGCGGTGCCGGAGAAGCTCCCAAGGGATTAAGGGAGCGTCTGGGCGCCCGTGGGACGCCTCCAGCTCAGCCCCGGGGTGGGCCTTGCCCCGACGCCCTTATAAAACCCATTGGGTGCTCACGTGGGGTGGGACGGGCACCCAAAGGTGGCCACGGAGCCCAGCAGATGCCGCGGCCACCACCGAGGTCTTCGCTGGCCACCGAGGAGGACAAGGGCGAGGGGCACGGCCCCCAGCCCCCGCTGGGGCACAGTGGGGACCCACGGAGAGGTTGGATGCTGGTGGTGGGCAATGGGGCTCCATCGAGAGGAGGTTGTGCGGCAGGGATGGGGCTTGGGGCTTGGCTTGGTCCTGGGCTTCTCCTGCTCTGCATGGACTGAGGATGGGGGGTCCTTGTCACTGGTTGTTGTCCAAGTGTCCTTCTGCATGTGGAGGCACCCCTGGTCTCCTCCTTTCCCTGTTCTCCATGGTTGGTCCATCCCTGGTCTCCTTTCCCTGTTCTCCATGGTTGATCCATCCCTGGTCTCCTTTCCCTGTTCTCCGTGGTTGATCCATCCCTGGTCTCCTCCTTTCCCTGTTCTCCAAGGTTGATCCATCCCTGATCTTCTCCTTTCCCTGTTCTCCCTGGTTGATCCATCCCTGATCTCCTCCTTTCCCTGTTCTCCCTGGTTGATCCATCCCTGATCTCCTCCTTTCCCTGTTCTCCCTGGTTGATCCATCCCTGATCTCCTCCTTTCCCTGTTCTCCGTGGTTGATCCATCCCTGATCTCCTCCTTTCAATGTTCTCCCTGGTTGATCCATCCCTGATCTCCTCCTTTCCCTGTTCTCCGTGGTTGATCCATCCCTGATCTCCTCCTTTCAATGTTCTCCATGGTCGATCCATCCCTGATCTCCTCCTTTCCCTGTTCTCCATGGTTGATCCATCCCTGATCTCCTCCTTTCCCTGTTCTCCATGGTTGATCCATCCCTGATCTCCTCCTTTCCCTGTTCTCCATGGTTGATCCATCCCTGATCTCCTCCTTTCCCTGTTCTCCATGTCTCCTCCTTTCTCCTTCTCCATCCTTCCTTCCCCTCCATGTTTCCTTCATCCCTATCCCCATCCCTCCCTGTTCTCCATGTCTTCTCCATCCTTATGTCCATAGTTCCTTCTCCATGTTTCCTCCATTCCCATCTCCATCCTTCCTTCATCTCCATCCCCATCCTTCCCTGTTCTCCATCCATGTTTCTCCATCTCCATCCTTCCTCCTCCATCCCCATCTCCACCCTTCCCTGTTCTCCATCCATGTTCCTCCATCTCCAACCTCATCTCCACCCTTCCCTGTTCTCCATCCATGTTCCTCCATCTCCATCCTTTCCTGTTCTCCATCCCCATCTCCATCCTTCCCTGTTCTCCATCCATGTTCCTCCATCTCCACCCCCATCCTTCCCTGTTCTCCATCCATGTTCCTCCATCTCCATCCCCATCTTTCCCTGTTCATGTTCCTCCATCTCCATCCTTTCCTGTTCTCCATCCCCATCTCCATCCTTCCCTGTTCTCCATCCATGTTCCTCCATCTCCATCCTTTCTCCTCCATCCATGATCTCCATCCCCCTCCAACCCCTCCATAGGGCACCCCCCAGCCCATCCCCATGGGGAGCAAGGAACCTGCGCCCCATGGGCCCCATTTCCTTTATCTGTGGGGCCCACAGTGCATGGCCACAGGGAGTGGTGACCCACACCCATGGGTGGCTCCGACCCATGGCCATGGGAACCGTGACCCACAGTCACGTGGATCTTTGACCCACTTCTATGGGGCCCACAAACTTTCGTGGGGAGCAATGATCCATGGCTGTGAGGAACCAGCACCCATGGCCATGGGTACCTCCAAGCCGTGGCCAGGAGGATCCATGACCCATGTCCATGGGGAGCAATGCCCCACGTCCATGAGGATCCGTGACCCACATCCATGGGTACCTCCACCCCATGGGAACCCCTGACTCAGACCCATGGACAACCCCAACCCTCAACCATGGCCATAGAGGAGATGACTCCCCCCCATCCAAAGCTATCTCCAACCCCACCACCTTGAGGACCTATGGGGCCACACCAGGTTCCCTATGTCCAGAGCCCCACCGGCTCCATCCCATGGGAGGCATCCAAGGGTAGAGTGAGGTTCTGGGAGGTCAATGGCCTGGAGACAAGGAGGGGGAAGGTGGAGGATGTGGTGGAACCCGTAATTACATGGCCTCATTAAGGATGACTCTGCTGCTTGCTCCTATGGGCCCATGAGGTCACCCATTGCAACAGCTCAATGGTGATGACGGGGCCAAAGGGGTGGAGGTGGTGGGGTGAAGGCCACCCCTAAGACCCCCTCCCCATAAGGACCTATGGAGGTCCTTATGGCCCAGCTCATCTTCTCCTTGATGCAAAACCCCTGTGGGGGGGAACATCTAACAGCTCTGCCCCACAGCACCCGCAGCGATGGAGGTCCCCAAGCTATGGGGCACCATGAAGGTGCTGAGAACATTGGTCTTGGTGGTGTCCATGGGTGAGTCCGCAGGGCGGTGGGGTGGGAGCGTGGGGCAGGCATGCTGGCGGGTGGCTCTAACATGCGTGTTCTTGGCGTGTCCTCCCATGTAGCAACATCGGTGGTGGAGGGGGACACACGTGTGGTCGGGGGCATGGACTGCGAGCCCCATTCGCAACCATGGCAAGTGGCCATCTTGGACATGTACAAGCTCTACTGCGGTGGGGTCCTGGTGGACAAGGAGTGGGTGGTGACGGCGGCCCATTGCACCACGCCAGGGTAAGGACCAGGTCCTCGGGGTGCCCAGGGTGGCTCCTCACCCATAGTGTGGTCTCCATGGCCCATGGCATGGTCCCATGCAGGTTATGGACCCATGGGTTGTGGTCTCCATGGTCCATGGAGTGGTCCCGTGCAGGTTATGGACCCATGGGCTGTGGTCTTCATGGTCTTCGTGGTCCATGTGTCTTGCGTGTCGTGGTGTCACTCAGGTTGTGGTTTCCATGTGTTCTGCTATGTCAGACATTGGGTTAGGGTTTGCCGTGTCCTACACATGATCCATACCATGTCCTACACATGGTCCATACCATGTCCTACACATGATCCATACCATGTCCTACACATGGTCCATACCATGTCCTACACATGATCCATACCATGTCCTACACATGCTCCATGCTGTGCCCTACACATGATTCGTACCATGTCCTACACATGGTCCATGACCCCCATACCCCCTGTCCCACCCACCCCACGGTGACCACCCCCCATGCCTCATAGGATCACTAGCGTGCACATGGGCAAACACAACCTGTACACCCGGGAGCGCGGGGAGGTGCAGAAGATGGTGCAGAAGATGGTGGCCCACCCCAGCTATGACCCCACCACCAAGGACAATGACATCATGATGATGAAGCTCCTCACGCCTGTCACCATCACCGACAGGATCAAGCCCATCTCCGTGGCCTCCTGCCTGCCACAGCCGGGGACCACCTGCACCACGTCGGGATGGGGAGCCACCACCTCCCCTGAAGGTACCCGAGTGGCTCCGGGGGCTCTGATGGGGGTCTTGGGGGTTCTTATGGAGGTTTAGGGGGTTCTTATGGAGGTTTAGGGGGTTTTTATGGAGGTTCAGGGGGTTCTTACGGAGGTTTAGGGGGTGCTTATGGAGGTCTAGGGGGTTCTTATGGAGGGTTAGGGGGTTCTTATGATGGGGATATCAGAGTCATCTTGGTGCCTTGCTCCATCTCCTCTTATGGAGATATGGGCCCCTTCATGGGGATCCGTGTGTCCTTATGGAGATCTGGGTCCACCCATGGCCATTTGGGTCCCCTCATGGCCATTTGGGTCCCGTTTTGGTCACCTGGGACATATGGGTTCCCTTATGACCATCAGGGTCCCCCCATGACTACCTGCACCCCTTTATGCCCCCCCAGCCCATTCACTACCACCCAAGCTCCCACCACCCCCACCTCACCCCCCCTCCCCATGTCCCCCTTTTCATCCCCCCAGCCCCACGTTGGGCCCCCAGCAGACCCCATCCCACCACACTGGGTGCCACCTTTGGGTGGGCTTTGGCTGCTCTGGGGCACAGCTGCTGCCGGTGGCCGGGTCCATCTCCTTTGGTCTCTTTCTTCTCCTCCCCTCCCTCTGTTCTTTGTCCCTTTGTGTCCCACCCCAGTCACTTACCCGGACGTCTTGCAGTGCGTCAACGTCACCATCTTCTCCACGGCTGAATGTCACCGCCTGTACCCTGGCTCCATCACCGACAACATGCTCTGCGCCGGCAGCCTCCAAGGTGGGAGGGACTCGTGTCAGGTACGGAGCAGAGCCCCTTGGACCAGCAGGAACCAGCACCATGGCCTCCTGAGGTCCATCTCCATGGGCATTTTGAGGTCCATCCCCATGGGCATCTTGAGGTCCATCTCCATGGGCACCTTGAGGTCCATCTCCATGGCCTCCTGCGGTCCATCTCCATGGGCATTTTGAGGTCCATCCCCATGGGCATCTTGAGGTCCATCTCCATGGGCACCTTGAGGTCCATCTCCATGGCCTCCTGCGGTCCATCTCCATAGCCTCCTGAGGTGCATCTCCATGGGCATCTTGAGGTGCATCTCCATGGGCATCTTCAGGTCCACCTTGATGTCCTATTGAGGTCCATCTCCATGGCCTCCTGAGGTGCACCTCCATGTACATCCTGAGGTCCATCTCCATGTGCATCCTGAGTTCCATCTCCATGGGCATCTTGAGGTGCATCTCCGTGGGCATCTTGTGGTGCATCTCCATAGGCATCTTGAGGTCTACCTCCATGGCCTCCTGAGGTCCATCTCCATGGGCATCCTGAGGTCTATCTCAGCATCCTCTTGGGCAGTGGTGGTCAACTTAGGGCTGGTTTTCAAGGTCTGACCCTCAGGTGAAGCTCATGGCAGCCTCCCGTTGAGTTGGGCAACTCAATGGCCACTCACCCCAAGGGGACTTGCAGAAGCCAATGGCAGATCATCAACCCAACAGGAGTTGCCCAACTCAACGGGGGCAGTTGACCCAGCCGCTTGCCCACGTTGGAGTTGACCAACCCAATCCAACCCCACATTGGAGCTCACCCAATGAAGGCCAACCCCATGGGGCTGACGCCACGTTTCTCCCTAGGGTGACTCTGGAGGACCCCTGGTTTGCAACAGGAGCCTCCAAGGGATCGTGTCTTGGGGCATGGAGAAGTGCGGGCAGCCCAAGCGCCCCGGCGTCTACACCAAGGTCTGTAGATATGCCCAATGGATCCACCAGACCATGAAGGACAACTGAGCTCCAAGCGCCACTGTTTGGGGGGGGGGCGGAAAGGAGCATGGGGCCACCAGAAGCTGTGGGGTGAAGCTGCTGAGACGTGGGGTGGGAGGAGAGCAGAAATTAAAGCCTTTGTGATGGTCATTTTGGTCCTTTCAAGCTCACGGTGATGGGGTAACCACCAGCTTCCCAGCCATCATCTGCCCTGGGTCGTGGTGGCACCAAGGATGTCGTGGTGGCCAAAGGGGCTCCAAGCCATAGAGAGGTTGGGCAACACAAACAGGGTCCATGTCCTAGGAGATGCCCAATAGGAATGAAGAACCCAACAAGGGGCATCCAGCCAATGAGGGTCAACCCAATGGGGGTCACCCATTCATTGGACAACCCAGCAGGGGTCACCCATACATTGGTCAGCCCAACGGGAGTCACCCATGCATTGGTCAACCCAACGGGGGCCACCCATTCATTGGTCAGCCCAACAGGGGCCACCCATTCATTGGTCAACCCAACGGGGGTCATCCATTCATTGGTCAACCCAATGGGTGTCATCCATTCATTGGTCAGTCCAAGAGGGGTCACCAGTTCATTGGTCAACCCAACGGGGGTCATCCATTCATTGGTCAGCCCAACAGGGGTCATCTATTCATTGATCAACCCAACGGGGATCATCCATTCATTGGTCTACCCAATGGGTGTCATCCATTCATTGGTCAGTCCAAGAGGGGTCACCAATTCATTGGTCAGCCCAACAGGGGTCATCCATTTATTGGTCAGCCCAACGGGTGTCATCCATTCATTGGTCAGTCGAAGAGGGGTCACCAATTCATTGGTCAACCCAACGGGGGTCAGCCAATGGTCAAGGAGAAGATGTCACCATTGGCTGAGCTCTTCTTCAGATCTCCTCAACCCGATGTGCTTCCACGCCATTGGCTGGGCTCCTCCTAAGTCCCCCCCACCTCAGCTTGGAGCTACCCCATTGACTGGACTCCTCCTAAGTCCCACCCATGCCAACCTGGGGACACGCCATTGGCTGAGCCCTATCCAAGCCCTAAACTGGCATCTCACTGGCTGAGCTCCTCTTAGGTCCCTCCTACCTCAAACTGGAGCCACCCCATTGGCCGAGCTTCTCCTAAGTCCCGCCCACCTCAACTTGGTGCCACCCCATTGGCTCCTGGTCCTGCCCCAGTGGGGGGGCGGAGCTTCCCCCTCTGCAGCCAATCACAGCGGGGGCTGGTGTGCCCTTGCTGAGGCCCCTAAAGCCTCATTAGCGTTAATGAGCCATCCCATAATAGGCGCCCAGCCCCACACCCAGGGAGAGGCCTTAATCCGGCCTTAATGGGGCAGCACCCGCCCCACACGTCGCCCCATAGACAGCCACAGGGACCTGCTGTGACCTATAGATGGACCATGGGGACCTTCTTCACCCCATAGCTGGACACAAGGACCTGCTTCACCCCATAACTGACCCCTATGGTAGCCTCTATCAGCTCATAATTGAGCCCATTGGCACCCCATAAGTGACCCCATTGGCACCCCGTAACTGTCCCCCATGATCCCCCCACTATGGCCGCCCCATCATTACCCCATGGCCACCCCATTGTCACCCTATAACCAAGCCCATTGTTACCCAATAACCCCCCTATAGCAACCCCTTTGACACCCTACAGCCAACCCCACTAACCCCATTACTCCCATTGCCCCCCACTACCCCCCATTGCCCCACAGCCTCCATATGAACAAGTGGGGGAGGGGTGGGAATGCTTCACCTGCCCCCCCACCAAGGTCTCATTAACGACCCCGTTAATCATTAACCGGAGCCTTAATGAGCCCCAATGGGCCCCGACCCCCCCCCAGACCCACAATGGCTGCACCTGGAGCCCCCCCCCTGCTACTGCTGCTGCTGCTGCTGCTGCCCCCCATGGGTGCAACCGGTAAGGGTGGCTTTGGGTGCTCTATGGGGGTTCTTTGGGTCCTCTATGGGGCTTATGGGTGTCCTTTGGGTGCCATATGTGGGCTATGGGGGTCCTTTGGGTGCCATACGGTGGCTGTGGGGGTCCTTTGGGTGCTCTATGGCGGTTACGGGGGTCCTTTGGGTGCTCTATTGGGTGTTATGGGGGGGGCTTTGGGGGCTATGAGGGTCCTTTGGGTGCTCTATGGAGCTCCTTTGGGTGCCATATGGGGGTTATGGGGGTCCTTTGGGTGCTCTATGGGGGGATTTGGGGGGCCTTTGGGTGCTCTATTGGCTGTTATGGGGGGGCCTTTGGGTGCCATATGGGGGTTATGAGGGACCTTTGGGTGCTCTATGGGGGGATTTGGCAGCCATGTTTGGTTATGGGATGCCCCATAGCAGGCTATGGGGTGCCCCTCCTCCCATTACCCCCCTTAATGACCTCATCCATATTCCCCCCCCATAGCTCCTCAATGGGGAGGCCGCATCCTGGGGGGCTCCCCATGCCCCATGGGGGGCCATGCGGGGCTCGTGCTGCTGCTGTACTTTGGCTCCCCCTACTGTGGGGGGGCGCTGCTGGGACCCCAGTGGGTGCTGAGCGCAGCGCATTGTGAGGCCAGGTCAGGGCTATGGGGCAATGGGGGTAATGGGGGCAATGGGGGTAATGGGGGTAATGGGGGCAATGGGGGCAATGGAGGCAATGGGGGCAATGGGGGTAATGGGGGCAATGTGGGTAATGGGGGCAATGGGGGGCAATGGGTGCAATGGGAGTAATGATGGCTACGGGGGCAATGGGGGTCAATGGGGATCAGTGGGGATCAATGGGGGGCAATATGGATCAATGGGGATCAATGGAATCAATGGGCATCAATGGGATCAGTGGGGGTCAATGGGGATCAATGGGGATCAATGGGGGCAATGGGGATCAATGGGGATCAATGGAGGTCAATGGGGGCAATGGCTCCCCTGTCCCCGCAGCCACATCCAGGTCCTGGCTGGTGCCCACAGCCTCTCGGCCTCCTCGGGCCAGGAGCAGTTCTCAGCGGCCGTGGCCTCCATCGCCCACCCCGGCTTCGGCTCCGGCAGCCGCGGCCATGACCTGATGCTGCTGCGCCTGGAGCCCCCCCTCAACCTCTCCAGCGCCATCCAGCCCCTGCCCCTGCCCCACGCCCCTGCCGACACCGGCGCCAACTGCACCGTCATGGGCTGGGGCACCACCACCAGCCCCCAGGGTACTGGGGGGCAGTGGCAAGGGGTTGGAGACCCCCATTGGGTTGGGTGGTGGCATCTACAAGGGGTTGGAGACCCCCATTGGGTTGGGTGGTGGCATCTACAAGGGGTTGGAGACACCCATTGGGTTGGGTGGTGGCATCTACAAGGGGTTGGAAACCTCCATTGGGTTGGGTGGTGGCATCTACAAGGGGTTGGAGACCCCCATTGGGTTGGGTGGTGGCATCTACATGGGGTTGGAAACCTCCATTGGGTTGGGTGGTGGCATCTACAAGGGGTTGGAGACCTCCATTGGGTTGGGTGGTGGCATCTACATGGGGATGGAGACCTCCATTGGCCAATGGGTGGTGGCATCTACAAGGGGTTGGAGACCTCAAGTGCACTGGGTTGGGTGGTGGCATCTCCATGGAGACAGGACCCAATGGCCAATGGGTGATGGAGGTGGCATCTCCAAGGCTTCCCCCATCCCCTCCTGCCCCCAGAGACCTTCCCAGACACCGTCCAATGCCTCAACGTCTCCGTGGTTGACGGCACTGAGTGCAGCTCTGTCTACGGCTCCCAGGTGACGCAGGACATGGTGTGCGCCGGGGCCAATGCCGGAGGCAAGGACTCCTGCCAGGTACCCCCATAATCCCCCATGGCCCCCTCTGCCCCCTAGCCAAGCTCCTCTCATGGCCCCTTCTCTGTCCTAGGGTGACTCCGGGGGGCCCCTCATCTGCAATGGGGTCCTCCAGGGCATTGTCTCATGGGGGGACCACCCCTGCGGGCAGCCGGGGCGGCCGGGGGTCTACACCCGGGTGTACAACTACGTGCCCTGGATCCTGGAGAGCATGGGGGAGGCCTGAGCCCCACGCCTCCCGCATGGGAGCCACCACGGAACCCATCAAGGACCATCTGATCCCACCATGGAGCCATGGAAGCCACCATAGATCCAATAGAGACCATGTCATCCCACTATGGAAGGCTCCATAGACCCAACAGAGACCATCTCGTCCCATTATGGAATCCACCATAGAACTCATCATCTCATCCCACTATGGAGCCATGGAACCCACCATAGAACCCCAATAAATCCCCCCCAGCATCTCTAAGGCATCTCCTGCCCCCAGAACAGGCAGAAATGACCTAAATCAGGCAGAAATGACCAAAATTGGGCACAAATGACCCAAAATCAAGTAGAAATGACCCCAGTCAGGCAGAAAAGACCCAAGTTGGGCAGAGTTGGGCAAAATCAGACAGAAATGACCCCAAACTGGACAGGAATGACCCAAATTGGGCAAAACTAACCCCCAAATCAGACAAAATTGACCCCCAATCACACAAATGATGTAAAATTGGGCAAAACTGACCCAAAATTAGGTCGCAATGACCCAAAATTCAGCACAATTGACCTAAAATCGGTATAAATGACCCCAAATTGAGCAAAGTTGACCCAAAATTGGCCAGAATTGACCCAAACTAATCCCAAAGCAGCTCATCACTGGTTCAAGGGGCAGGGGGGAGCAATTCCCACCTAATTCCCACCTTCCCCCCCCAGTTCCCAGCCCTTTTCCTGCCCCATATCCCATGGGCTCCCTGGGGCTGAGTCACGGGGCACAGCAGCGTTATGGGGCATTAGGAGGGGGGTAATTAGTGATGGTGGGTAATTAGAGCCATCAATGGGGCCGGAGGGGCAGGGAGGAGCCGCGTTGGGATTTGGGAGCATTCCCGCGTCCCGGATCCCGCCGCCTCCTCCCCAAAGCTCCTGGGATCGAGGCTGGGTTGGAATGGGAGGCACTGGCCTGCTGGGGGGGGGGGACACCAAGACTCTATCGCGATATCCCAGTGTTCATCCCGACATCGATCCCAGCATCCCAAATTCCCAATGTCCATTCCGTCCATGGCGACATCCATGGCAATCTCCATCCCATCCGTTGCATTCACCTCCGTGTCTATCCCAACATCCATCCCTATCCCAGCATCCATCCCAATACCTATCCCGTCCAATCCATCCCAAGATCCAAGCCAACATCCACCCCATCCATGGCAACCATCCCGCCTATCCTAACACCCATCCCAACATCCATGTGATGTCCATCTCGTCCATCCCAAGCTCCACCTCATCCATCCCAACCCTTCCATCCACGCCACCATTCATCCCACCCAACCCAACATCCATTCCAACACATACCCAAACATCCATCCCATCTACCCCAGTGTCTACCCAACATCCATCCCAACATCCATTTTCAACATCCATCCCAACATCCCATTGGACATCCCATCATCCATCCCGATGTCCATCCCATCTCTACACCCAACACAGCATCTCATGGTGCACCCCATCATCCCGATGTCCATCCCCTCATCCCAGCTCCATCCCATGGTCCACCCCAAAACCCATCCCATCATCCCGTGGTCCATCCCTTGCTCCTCCCCCCGGGTGGAGCCGTTGGCACAAAAGCCATCCCCAACAAGCTGGGACACGCCAGGACACGCCAGGACACGGCACGGACACGGCAAGAACACGCCAAGGACACACCAGGGATAGAGGGTGACATGGGGGGGCCATGGGGGTGGATAAAGGGCAGGATAAGGGTGGGATATGGGGAAGGGGAGAGAGGGAAGAGGAGGAAGGAATGAGGAAGGAAGGAGGAGGAAGAGGAAGAGGGAAGTGGTGTAAGGAGGAAGGAGGAAGGGATGGGGAAGGAAGGAGGTGGGATGGAGGGGGATGAAGGGGGGATGGAGGAGGATGAAGATGGGGTGAAGGGGGATGAAGGGGGATGAAGGGGGATGGAGGAGGATGGAGAGGAATGAAGGGGGATGGAGGGGGATGGAGGGAGATGAAGGGGGATGAAGGGGGATGAAGTGGGGAAGGAGGTGGGATAAAGGGGGTTTGCTGGGATACATGGACACAGGCAGGACCCCATTCACCCTTCCGTGTGTCCCCCCCAGGACCATGGAGCTGCTGCCACTGAGCCTGGTCCTGCTGCTGATGGGTACAGACGTGTCCCCATATCCCAAATCCCGTATCCCAAATCCCATACCCCATATCCCATATGCTATATCCCATATCCCAAACCCCATATCCCATATGCCATACCCCATATCCCATGTCCCATATCCCAAATCCCATGTCCCATATTCCATGTCCCATACCCCATGTCCCATATCCCAGGAGGAGCCAGCGGGCAGGATGAGGACAGGATCATCGGGGGGTATCCCTGTGTCCCCCATTCCCAGCCATGGCAGGTCTACATCTACAGCCCCGTGCGCTGTGGTGGGATCCTCCTCAGGGACAACTGGGTCCTCTCGGCTGCCCATTGCAACAGCAGGTGGGGATATGGGGATATGGGCTATGGGGTATGGAGTAAGGGATAGCGGGTATGGAGTACGGGATATGGGATGTGGGCTATGGGGTATGGGATATGGGGTATGGAGTATGGGATATGGGATGTGGGCTATGGAGTATGGGATAGGGGGTATGGAGTACGGGATATGGGATGTGGGCTATGGGGTATGAGATATGGGGTATGGGATGGGGACACATCCCATGGACATATGCATGAGGAGATGGGACAACCCTGCCTGTGGGGACACCATAGGGGGTGAGATGGGACCGTCCCCGTGTCCCCACATTTCCCACCTTCCTCCCTGTATCCCACGTCCCCACATCCCATATCCATGGCCCCACATCCATGGCACCCCATCCCACATCCATGGCGCCCCATCCCACATCCATGGTCCCACACCCCACATCCATGGCGCCCCATCCCACATCCATGGTCCCACACCCCACATCCATGCCCCCGCATCCCACATCCATGCCCCCCCATCCCATATCCATGCCCCCCTATCCCATATCCATGGCTCCATAGGGGTATCCGCCTACGCCTGGGCGAGAACGACCTCCAGCAGCAGGAGGGGACGGAGCAGAACCGCCTGGTGGCCAAGGCCATTCCGCACCCAGCCTTCAACCCCACCACCCTGGACAACGACCTCCTGCTCCTCAAGCTGGACCGACCTGTGGGGCTGGGCCGCACCGTGCGGCCCCTGGCCCTGCCCCGCTCCTGCGCCCCCCCTGGCACCACCTGCCTGGTCTCGGGATGGGGAACCGTCACCACCCCACAGGGTGAGCTGAGCCGGGAAGTCAATGGGGGCCCATAGGGAACCTGTAGTAAACCTATAGTAAAGCCATAGTAGGGCTGCAGTAAGGCCCTCCCAGCACCACCTGCCTGGTCTTGGGCTGGGGAACCGTCACCACCCCCCAGGGTAAGCTGGGAAGTCAATGGGGGCCCATAGGGACTCTGTAGTAGACCTGTAGTAAATCTATAGTAAACCTATAGCAGACCTTCGGTAAGCCCCCCCAGTGCCATCTGCCTGGTCTTGGGATGGGGAACTGTCACCATCCCCCAGGGTGAGCTGGGAAGTCAATGGGGGCCCACAGAGACCCTGTAGTAGACCTGTAGTAAACCTATAGCAGACCTTTCTGTAAGCCCCCCCAGTGCCATCTGCCTGGTCTTGGGATGGGGAACTGTCACCATCCCCCAGGGTGAGCTGGGAAGTCAATGGGGGCCCACAGAGACCCTGTAGTAGACCTGTAGTAAACCTGTAGCAGACCTTTCTGTAAGCCCCCCCAGTGCCATCTGCCTGGTCTTGGGATGGGGAACTGTCACCATCCCCCAGGGTGAGCTGGGAAGTCAATGGGAGCCCACAGGGACCCTGTAGTAGACCTGTAGTAACCCCCACCCGCTACCATCGGCCTTGTTTAGGGCTGGGGAACCATCACCACTCCCTACAAGTAGCCTGTAGGTGATGGCCAACCTAGCAGTAACCTCTCCGTAACCTCTCGCTGGCCTAGGAGCAACACCAGGCCTTGGGTTGAACTCTGAGTAACCTATGAGTAACCTCATAGTAGACCCCAGAGCACCCCCTTTGACCCCCCCAATGCCCACAGTGACCCTGCCCCGGCACCTGATCTGCGCCTACGTGGACATCCTGCCCGACGCCACCTGCCGCCGGGCCTACCCTCAGCGCGTGACTCCCAACATGCTTTGCGCAGGGGTGCGCAACCAGCGCATCGACTCCTGCCAGGTACCTGGGGGGGGGGACACCCCAAAAGCACCCAACCCCAAATCCTCACCCCCCCCAGCTCAACCTCTTCACCCCAAACTACCATGGTGGCCCCCACCCCCATGTGCCTCTCAACCCAAGGACCTTCTTCTCCACCAATGGGGCACCCAGAAGCATCCCTGACCCCAAATCTGGGGTGTTCCCCATCTAACTATGGGATGTCCTCCCCCCTAGGGTGACTCTGGGGGGCCCCTGTCCTGCAATGGGACCCTCCAGGGCATCGTGTCCTGGGGGCTGCAGACCTGTGCCCTGCCCGGGCGCCCCGGGGTCTACACCCGCGTCTGCAACTACGTGGGATGGATTGAGAACACCATGAACCGCAACTAAGACACGCCAAGGACACGGGACATGGAGCTGGACCGCTCTAGACCACAACTACATGGAGCTGGGCCACCAGAGACTATGAGTAGGGACATAATGACATGGATAAGGACCATCATGGGCACTATGGACTATGAGCAAGGACATAAGGACGTGGATCTAGACCATCCTAAGCCACCATTGACCACAACTAGGGCCACACATGGAGATGGACCGCTACGGACTATGAGCAGGGACATAAGGACATGGATAAGGACCACCACAGATCGCTATAGAGTATAAGCAGGGCCATAAACACATGGATAAAGACCATCATGGGCTCTATGGACTATGAATAGGGACATAAAGACACGGATAAGGACCATCATGATCACTATGGAGCATGAGTAGGGACATAAAGACATGGATCTGGGCCATCATGGGCACTACAGACTATGAGTAAGGACATAAGGACATGGATAAGGACCATCATGGACCATTATGGACTACGAGCAAGGACATAAGGACATGGATCTGGACCATTCTAAGCCACCATTGACCACAACTACAGGCCACTATGGACTATGAGTAGAGACACAAGAACGTGGGTAAGGACCATCATGAACTATCAGTAGGGACATAAGGACACAACAGATCACTACGGACTATGAGTAGTGACATAAAGACACGGACAAGGACCATCATGGGCACTATGGACTATGAGCAAGGACATAAGGACATGGATCTGGACCATCCTGGGCCACCATTGACCACAATTACAGCCATACATGCAGCTGGCCCCCCATGCGCTATGAGTAGGGACACGAGGACACAGACTTGGGTCACACCATGGACCACCACAGGCCACTGTAGACCACAGGCAGGGACACATGGACATAGACCTGGACCACCATGGACTTGGACCACCACAGACCACATCCTTGGGCCACCACAACGCAGGTGTGGAGGACACGGCCCACGACAGGGACACAACAGAGGGGGGAGGACCAATAAAGCAGGAGCAAAGCCAACATTGAGCCCATCTCCATGGCCCATCCCAGCACCCCCAGGAGGCCCAGGCACAGTCCTGGGGGGCCCAAACCATCCTGAGATGCATCTTGATGGGCTTCTCCATTGACGTCTTTATTGAAAGGGGGAGATGGAGACAGAGCCCCCCAGGAGGGGACATCAAGGGGGTGGTTGGAGATGACCTCAAGTGGTGGCCACCTCAAACAGGGGGAGTAGAAGGGGAGGAGGAGTGTGATGGTGGAGGACCAAGGCAGCCGCATGGCCACCTCCAGGTCTCCACCCGATTGGCTAACCCCCTCTTCCCCCCAGCCACGTGACCCCCACTGAGCTCCCCCCAACCAACCAATGAGACGAGGCCACAGCTCAACCTGCACCAGTCCTGAGCGAGACCACGTGGAACGGGCACAATCAGGGCCACGTTTGGTCGAGCGAAGCCTTGGAGAAGCCACCTGAGATGTGGTGGAACCCATAACCTACGTCCTCACCTCCCCTGCTTCCATCTCCTCCCATTGGGATCAGAAAGTTCCTTCCCCCCCACCCCTGCCACCAAAAGCAGCTCCAAAGGGCCCCCCATTGACCTGCAGCTGCAGGAGGTGGTGGTGGTTACATGGTGCTGGGGGTGCTGGGTGCTGGGGGGGTGTGGAAATTGGTCTCCTTGAAAACGAACCAGGAGCTGCCGAGCCAAAGAATGAGGTTGAGGAAGCCGAAGACCTGGAGGGGAGGAAGGGGATGAAGGTGAAGCTCCTCAAGAGACTCCACCAAGAAGGACCCCAGAAGGGTCCCCGTTGTGCCCCCACTGCAGCACCCACCACAGAGACGTTGAGGGTGCCCATGGGGGTGGTGGTGTCGCGGCTGCAGATCACAGCCGGGGGGTGGCAGTAGGGCAGGGGAGCCGCCACTGAGGCCTTGACGTCCGTCAGCGCCTTGGCCCAGGCCGAGGAGGCCACCAGCCACAGGAAGGAGAAGGCAGCGGTGGCCAGGAAGTCCTATGGGAGACACGGCAGAGGTCAGGGGGTGGGCACCAAATCCCATGGGATAGAGGTGGGAAGAGGAGGGACGTGGTGGACACCAAGTGTTATGGAGCCTGGGGGTCCACAGGACCATGGTGCTAGGCCCCCAAGCACGGCAGGACCCCAAAAGCGAACGGCCAAGCCTTACCCTGTGTCCTGTCCATGGCAGCAGAAGGAAAGAAGGACAAAGGAGGGTTACGGCCCAACCCCAATGTCCCACCTCCATGTCCCATCCCACCACTGGGACCTCCCAAGGGACTGGAGGATGATGGGAGCAATGGGGGGGCTCAGGGGTATGGAGCTGGGGGGCAAGGAGGTGGGGGCTGGCCAATGGGAGGGCAGGAGAGGACCGAAGGAGTGGATGGAGAAGACCAAGGTGGGTGGATGGTGATTGGATGGATGGGTGATGGATGGCTGGTGGCTGGACGGTGGATGAGAGGGTGGAGGACACGATGGATGGTGACTGGACGATGTGGGAGATCAGGAGATGGTGACTGAATGAATGCATGGTGGTTGGATGAAGGCAGGATGATGGTGGATGGTGACTGGTTGGATGGATGAAGGTTGGACGATGATTGGATGGATGGATGGATGAAAATAGGACGATGCTGGAGGGTCATTGGTTGGATGGATGATGGTTGGATGATTGAATGAATGGATGGTGGTTGGATGAAGGAGCAATGATGTTAGATGGTGACTGGCTGGACGAATGGACATTGGATGATGACTGGATGGATGGATGGTGGCTGGATGAAGGCAGGATGATGTTAGATGGTGACTGGTTGGACGGATGGACATTGGATGATGACTGGATAGATGGATGGTAGCTGGATGAAGGCAGGATGATGTTAAATGGTGACTGGTTGGACGGATGGAGATTGGATGACGGTCGGATGACGATGGATAAAGATCAGATAACGATTGGACGGACAGACGGCGGTCGGATGGCGAATGGATGACGCTGGATGGCCGAAGAACCCCCAACAACCCCACCCCCATTTGCCCCCCTCTCCCCACGGCCAGGACTCACCCCCAGGGGCAGCTTCCCCCCGGCGCCGCGGTAGAGGTGGAGGTAGCCCAGGTAGAGCAGGAGGGCGCCCAGGCTGTACAGGAAGGAGAAGACGGCCACGACCACGAAGAACTGGGCCGAGGACGAGAAGTCCCCGACCAGGTGCACGTCCCTGGCCCACGTCCGGTTGCACAGCGCAGTCAGGGAGGGCGTGAAGGTGGCCAGGTTCAGCCTAGGGTGGCAAAAGGGGCTCCGAGGGGGGCTCCTCCAAGACAGGGAGCTCCTGGGGCTCCCCACAGGAGCAAACCCAGCTGGGCTGAGGGAGCTCCATGGGGCAGCCTGGGGCTGCAGGCATCTGCTACCCCATGGTGCACGTGGAGGGAAGGATGGGGGGGATGAAGGTGGGAGTTGGGAATGGGGGTGGGACTGGAAACAGGGATCGAGGTGGGATTGAACGTAGGGATTGAGCTGAGGATCCAGGTGGGAATAGGGAATGGAAATGGGAATGGCGATGGGGTCAAGGTGGGATTGAACGTAGGGATTGAGGTGAGGATCCAGGCGGGAATAGGGAATGGAAGAGGGAATGGCGATGGGGTCAAGGTGGGATTGAACGTAGGGATTGAGGTGAGGATCCAAGCGGGAATAGGGAATGGCGATGAGGTCAAGGTGGGGATGGGGATGAGGTCCCGCCCCCTCCCTCCCCGCAACCAATCAGTGTGGGGGCATGGCCTCACCGGAAGGGGTAGGCGAAGGGGGCGCTGACGGAGATATTGGGGCTGCCGGCGCAGCTCAGGTGGAAGCTGACGGAGCCCTGGAAGCCCCCGAGGGTGGCGAAGGCGAAGACGGAGAAAAACTGCGGGAAAAGTGGGGAAAAGTGGGAATTCTGGTCCCAAATCCTGCCTGGAATGGGGTTCCCCCCGGAAACGGGGAAAAATGAGCCAAAAATGGGGTTTTGGGGGTCAAAATGAGCAGGGGAAAAGGTTAAAGGTGGGAAACCCAAGAAAAAGGGGGAACTCTGGCCCCAAATCCTGCCTGGAATGGGGCTCCCATCCCGTTCCTCTCCTGTTCCCTTTCCCATCCTGTCCCCGTTCCCATTCCCATCCCATCCCCGTTTCCATTCCCATCCCGTTCCCGTTCCCATCCTGTCCCCGTTTCCGTTCCCATCCCCGTTCCCATCCCGTTCCTGTTCCCTTCCCCATCCCGTACCCATCCCCGTCTCCATCCCATTCCCATCCCCGTTCCCACCCCCGTTGCCATCCTTGTTCCCATCCCGTTCCCATCCTTGTTCCCATCCCGTTCCCATCCTTGTTCCCATCCCGTTCCCATCCCCGTTTCCATCCCGTTCCCAACACCGTTCCCATCCCCGTTCCCGTTCCCATCCCCGTTCCCGTTCCCATCCCCGTTCCCGTTCCCATCCCGTTCCCATCCCCGTTCCCGTTCCCATCCCCGTTCCCGTTCCCATCCCCGTTCCCGTTCCCATCCCCGTTCCCATCCCCGTTCCCGTTCCCATCCCCGTTCCCGTTCCCACCCCCTGCAGGGCCCGGATCAGCCCCAGCGGTTCTCGGGCCGGGCCCAGGTCCCACCGCGGAGCCGCCATCTTCCCCGCACCGCCTCGGAAGTGACGTCAGGGCGGCGGGAAAGGACGGGACGTCATTTGAATACGAAGCCACGCCCCCAGTCGCTCAGCAACAGCTCATTTACATGCGTGGCCACGCCGGATCACCCCACGACAACTCATTTGCATTCCCGGACACGCCCCCTCAGGCAGGCCCCTCCTATTATCACGCACGTTCGCAGCGACCAATCCGTTCAAGCGCTGTTTATTGACGTCATTTGCAAGGCACCGCCCACAACGTGCGCTCCGTTCGCATGGCGCGCCAGAAACCCCCGCCTCCCTCATGACATCACACACAAAGTAGCCAATGAGCAGCACGGAGGAGCGTGGCTCCTCCCCACCCTTGGGAAAGGCCGCGGGGGCCCACTCCCGCCCTGGGTCCTAATGCAGCCCCTTCGCAGCGTGGGCCCCTCAGCCACCCCCCAAGTGCCCCAATGACCCCACAAGTGCCTCCTGCTGCCCCCTAACTGCCCCAATGACCCCACAGCTGCCCCCCAAGTACCTCCAGCTGCCCCATACCTGCCCCAATGATGCCACAACTGTCCCCCAAGTGCCCCCAATCACCCCATAACTGCCCCAATGACCTCACAACTGCCGCCCAAGTTCCTCCTGCTGCCCCATAACTGCCCCAATGATTCCCATCTCTGCCCCCCAAGTGCCCCATCAGAAGTCCCAGATGTTGAGGGCCCCCCTGGCCCGCCCCAGCCCCACGACCCTCTTGCGCACGCTCCGGCCCCCGGCCCCCACCACCTCCACCTCCACCCCTGCCCGGGGGTCCACAGCCTCACGCACCCCGGCCCCATGGCCACGGGCCCTGCAAGCGCACTCCCCATTGCCCCCACGGCCGCCATGGCCAACAGCCCCATAACCATCACCTTTATGGTCCCCGGCCGCGTAACCATCGACCTTATGGCCACCAGCCCTACAACTACAGCCCCCATCCTTATGCTCATTACCCCTATGAATACCATCCCCATAGCCGCCATCCCCATAGCCTTTATGGCCCCCATAACCATCACCCCTATGGCCCCCATCCCCACAGCCCCCATCCCCATAACCTTTATGGTCCCCATAACCGTCACCCCTACGGCCCCCATCCCCACAGCCCCCATCCCCATAACCTTTATGGTCCCCATAACCGTCACCCCTATGGCCCCCATCCCCACAGCCCCCATCCCCATAACCTTTATGGTCCCCATAACCGTCACCCCTATGGCCCCCATCCCCACAGCCTTTATGGCCCCCATCCCCACAGCCTTTACGGCCCCCAGCCCCACAACCACAGCCCCCCCCAGCCCCATCCCCAGGGCCCCACGCCCGCCCCATCACCTCCTCCATCGCCCTCTTGCCCAGCGCCACCCTCGGCCGCCCGCTCTGCAGCGCCCCCTGCAGGACGCACGCCTTGCACAGCCCCTGGCTGGACGCGAACCCGCACCGCGCGCACGCGCAGAGCGGCCGCCGGGGGGCGCGCGCGTCCCCCGCCACCGGCAGGCGCCGCCCCGAGTGCCCGAGCGCGGGAACGGCGGCCGCGCGCGCCGCCTCCAGGCCCTTGAGCAGCGCCCGCGCGTGCCCGCGGAAGGCGCGCGCCGCGTACGCGCACTCGGTGCTGACGTAGCGCAGGCGCCGGAAGTGCGCGTACAGCACGATCTCCTTCTCGCACGCGTGCCGCAGCGGCTTGCACCGGGGCACCGGCGGCCACGGCGCGGGCACCGGGGGGGCCTTCCGGGGGGGGCCTGACCTGGTCTCTATGGGGCCTGAGCTGGTCTCTATAGGGCCTGGGGTGGCGTCTGTGGGGCCTGAGCTGGTCTCTATAGGGCCTGGGGTGGTCTCTATGGGGCCTGGGGTGGCCTCTGTGGGGCCTGAGCTGGTCTCTATAGGGCCTGAGCTGGTCTCTATGGGGCCTGGGGTGGCGTCTGTGGGGCCTGAGCTGGTCTCTATGGGGCCTGGGGTGGCCTCTGTGGGGCCTGAGCTGGTCTCTTTAGGGCCTGGGGTGGCGTCTGTGGGGCCTGAGCTGGTCTCTATAGGGCCTGGGGTGGTCTCTATGGGGCCTGGGGTGGCCTCTGTGGGGCCTGAGCTGGTCTCTATAGGGCCTGAGCTGGTCTCTATGGGGCCTGGGGTGGCGTCTGTGGGGCCTGAGCTGGTCTCTATAGGGCCTGGGGTGGCGTCTGTGGGGCCTGGGGTGGCGTCTGTGGGGCCTGACCTGGTCTCTATGGGGCCTGGGGTGGCGTCTGTGGGGCCTGAGCTGGTCTCTATAGGGCCTGGGGTGGTTTCTATGGGGCCTGAGGTGGTTTTTATGGGGTCTGGGCTGCTTAGGAAGCCCATGAAGCTCAGCAGAGTGTCTATGGGGTCCTTGGGGGTGTCTATGGGGTCCTTGGAGGTGTCTGTGGGGTCCTTGGGGGTGCCTATGGGGGCCTTGGGGGTGTCTATGGGGTCCTTGGAGGTCTTCATGGGGTCCTTAGGGGTGTCTGTGGGGTCCTTGGAGGTCTTCATGGGGTCCTTGGGGGTGTCTGTGGGGCCCTTGGAGGTCTTCATGGGGTCCTTGGAGGTCTTCATGGGGTGCTTGGCGGTGTCAGTGGGGTCCTTGGTGGTATCCATGGGGCTCTTGGTGCTCCTGGAGGTCTCTGGGGGGCTCTCCGTGGGGCCAGCGCCGCCCTCCGAGGCTGTTCTCCGCAGCCGCGCCACGTCCCCACGCAGAAAATTCATCAGCAAAGTCTCGGCGATGTCGTCAGCGTTGTGCCCTGCGGGGCCGGTTCCATCCCAGTTAGATCCAGTTACAACTGGTTCCATCCCAGTTAGACCCAATTACAACCAGTTCCATCCTGGTTAGACCCAGTGACAACCAGTTCCATCCCAGTTAGACCCAACTGCAACCAGTTATGACCAGTTATAACCAGTTCCATCCCAGTTAGACCCAATTACAACCAGTTCCATCCTGGTTAGACCCAGTGACAACCAGTTCCATCCCAGTTAGACCCAACTGCAACCAGTTATGACCAGTTATAACCAGTTCCATCCAAGTTTGACCCAATCGCAACCAGTTAGACCCAGTTACAACCAGTTCCATCCCAGTTAGACCCAGTTACAACCAGTTCCATCCCAGTTAGACCCAACTGCAACCAGTTATGACCAGTTATAACCAGTTCCATCCAAGTTTGACCCAATCGCAACCAGTTAGACCCAGTTACAACCAGTTCCATCCCAGTTAGACCCAGTTACAACCAGTTCCATCCCTGTTAGACCCAGTGACAACCGTTTCATCCCAGTTAGACCCAACTGCAACCAGTTAGACCCAGTTAAAAAGTTCCATCCCAGTTAGACCCAGTTACAACCAGTTCCATCCCGATTAGCCCCAGTTAGAACGAGTTACAACCAACTCCATCCCATTCCCGTCCCCTCCCTCCCTTCTCAGTCCATCCCAGTGCCCCTCCCCGTCCCGCTCCTCACCAGTCGCGATCCAGTCAGCCCCCAGCAGCCGCGCCGCCCTCTCCAGCGCCTGCCTCCTCAGCACCCCGCAGAAGGTGCAGCGGGAGCCGGCCCCCAGCGCCGCTCCCAGCTCGTCCACGCTCCACCCGAACACATCCCGGTGCGACAGCACCAGCAGCGGGGCCCCCCCCCGGCCCTCCCGCACCGCGGCCAGCGCCGCCTCCCGGTACCCGGCGATGCCCTCGTCCACGGACACCAGCGCCAGGCGCAGCCCCAGGCGCAGCCCGAAGCGCTGCAGGAGGTGGCTCAGCACCGTGGAGTCCTTGCCGCCGGACGCGGCCACGGCCACGGTGGAGCCGGGCGCGGGGACGGGGACGCGGGAGCCGGGCACGGGGGTGATGGAGCCCAGGAACTCAGCCTCGAAGCGGAGCACGAAGCAGTCGCGGCAAAGCGGGGTCCCGCAGCGGGGACGGAGCAGGGCGGCGGGGAGGGGACACAGCTGGCAGCGAGGAGGAGGCATCGCCTGCAACAGGAACAGGGGGGACACAGCGTTAAAGGGGTGATGGGGGGGCAATAAAGGTGCATTTGGCACCCCACCCCCCCCCCTACTGCTGGCAATGGTGCCTCCCACCCCCCCAATGGCACCAATGGTCCCTCCCAGCCCCCCCACAATGGCCGTAAGGTCTCTCCCCGCCCCCCCCCCCATGGCCGTAATGGTCCCTTCCCACCCCCCCACCATGGCCGCAATGGTCTCTTCCCTCTCCCCATGGCCGCAATGGTCCCTTCCCACCCCCCCCCCCATGGCCGCAATGGTCTCTTCCCTCTCCCCATGGCCGCAATGGTCCCTTCCCTTCCCCCCCACATGGCCGCAATGGTCTCTTCCCTCTCCCCATGGCCGCAATGGTCCCTTCCCTTCCCCCCCACATGGCCGCAATGGTGCCTCCCCCCCCTCCCCCCATGGCCGCAATAGTCTCTCACACCCCAACACCCCCCCCCCCCGCAATGGTATCTCCTAGCCCCAACCCCCCCCAACCCCCTCCCGCCTCATAAATGGGCTCTTCCAACGCCTGCCCCCCCCCATTACCCGTGTCCCGTCCCCTCCGTCCCCCCCCCGCCGTTACCGGTAATGGTCCCGTCCGCCGGAGCCGCGGAGCCTCCGCATGCGCCGCTGGAGCCTTCCCGGCGTGCACCGCGCTGCGGAGGGGCATGGCCACGCCCACCAGGGAACTCGGCTGCCAATCAGAGCGCGAAGGGCGGATCCCGCATGGGTGGGGCCGGATAATTAATAGGGATGGGGTCAATAATAGCCGTAGAGTGGGAATTAATGGCCCCATTGGTTAATCAGTGCGCTCTAAGGGTAATTAATAGCCTTCCTAAGGTAATCGATGGCTTCTAGGGGTAACTAATGGCCCATAAGAATAATTAATAGCTGTCATGGGGCAATTAATGGTCTCTAAGGGTAACAAAGAGTCCTCATGGGATAATGAATGACCCCTAAGGGTAATGAATAGCCCTAAAGGAGTAATGAATAGCCTCCCATAGGGTAATTAATGGCCCCTAAGAGTAATGAATAGCCATAAATCGGTAACAAATAGCCCCCATGGGGTAATTAATGGCCCCTAAGGGTAACTAATGCCCTCAAAGGGTAACTAATAGCCCCAAGGGACAAGCTATAGCCCTAAAGAGGTAACTAACAGCCTCCACTGATGCAATTAATGTCCCCTTAGGATAACTAATCTCCCTTGGAGGATAAATAAAGGCCTCAAAGCGGTAATTGACAGCACCAAGGGGTAATTAGTAGCCCAATGGGGTAGTTAATAGCCGACAAAGAGCAATTAATAGTTCTAAGCTGTTAGTCCCAAGGGTTAATTAAGGCTCCTATGCGGTAATGAACACAACGCAAGGGGCGGAGCTTCCCGTCAGGGGGCGGGGCCTCTCCAAAAAGGGAACTAAGGGGGGAAAGGGGGGGGCGGAGTTTAGTCCACGTGACCCCATTGCCCCTCCCACTTCCCCATTGTCTACCAGGGCCGTGCCCGTGCGTCCAGCGCCATGAGTCCCCTCCCGGCTCTGCTGCTCCTGCTGCTGGGTGAGGCCACGCCCCCTTTCATAGACCACGCCCCCTCAATTAGGCTCCTCCTACTGCCCCCCACCCCCTTGGCCCCACCCACCCGGGGCAAAAGGAGCCAATGGGGTGGGAGGAGCCAATAGGGTGGGAGGAGCCAATGCGGTGGGAGGGGGAAAAGGGGTGGGAGGGGCCAATGGGGAGGGAGGAGCCAATGCGGTGGGAGGGGTTAAAGGGTTGGGAGGGGCCAAGGGAATAGGAGGAAACAATAGGGGAGGAGCCAATGGGGTGGGAGGGGCTAAAGGGGTAGGAGGGAACAATTGGGGTGGGAGGAGCAAATAGGGAAGGAGGGGCGGAGCTTTCACAGTTGTCACGTGACCACTTCCGTTTGTTCCTCCAGGATTGGCTGCTGCAGAGGGAGGTGAGGCCCACCTCCCTCAACCCCCCACCCCCTTCCGTGAGGTCACGTGTGTTGGGGGGGTGGTCAACATCTTTTCCCATGTATCCAATCAGATTGCAGCTCCTGCCTGCCGGGCCCGGGACCAATCGCAGCGCTGGTGGCCGCTGACATCATCATGACGCTGCTCATCGCGGGAGGGGCCTACTGCCTAGGGGGGCGGGGCCGGAGAGGTGGGGGCGTGGCTTGAGAGAAAGTGGGCGGGGAAGGACGAACGGGATGGGCGGGGCTTGAGGGGAGAGTGGGCGGGGTCAATCGGAATATGTGGGGCCTGTGCAGGGGGCGTGACCACTCACCAGGTGGGCGGAGCTTCCCCACCCTGAACCCTCCTCCTTTCCATCCCAGATGAGGTCAAGCCACGCCCCCCCGAGGTGGAGCCGACCTATCAGGTAAGACCAGTGAGGGGTGGGAAGGGGAAGTGGGCGGAGCTTTGCCCATATACGACGGGGCTGACTCCACCTCTACCCCTCTGCAGGAGCTCCAGGGCGCACGTGGGGACGTCTACAGCGAGCTCAGGCGATAGCCCCGCCCTCTCCTCGTCCCCCACCGACGGGACCCGGTTGCTTCCCCCCAATAAACCTCCTTTTTTTTTTGCCTCAATTTGCTCTTTTCCGCCCCATTTCCGTGTCGAGGGGGTGGAGCGCGCTGCGTGCTCTTGACGTCATCGCCGCGCGCCGGAAGTGGGTCCTCACCCCCCCCCCCCCTCCCTCCTTTGCCATCATGGCGGCCGCGGCGGCTTCGGCAGCGGTCGCGGCTCCAGCGGCAGGGCCCGGGCCTGGTCCCGGAGCTGCCGCCTCGGCCGTGAGCGGGAACGGAGCCGGCGGGAGCGGGGCGGCGGCGGCGGCGGCGGCGGGAGCGGGGCCGGCCAAGAGCGGCGAGGAGCGGCTGAAGGAGATGGAGGCCGAGATGGCGCTGTGAGGGGCCGAGGGGCGGGGCTGCCATGGCAACGGGGGCGGAGACGGGGAAAGAGGGGTGTCGCCATGGCAACGCGGAGTGGGCGGGGCTTGAGGGAGAGGGCGGGGCTACAGGGAGCGCTTTGGGGGGGTGTGGAAGGTTCCATCGGGGGTAACGGGGGGCGATGGGCACCCCCCTGACCCGTTCTGTCCCCGCCCAGGTTCGAGCAGGAGGTGCTGGGAGCCCCCACCCCGGCTGCACCCCCAAGTAGTGGGGACCCCGCATCCGCCATGGCCGTGCCCCCCGTGACCCCCGTCCTGCGGCCCATCATTGCCACCAACACCTACCAGCAGGTGACGCACCATGGCCCCATAGGCTCCCCATACTTCTGTAGCCCTCCCATGGTTTTATAGCCCCCCTGTGGCTCCATAGTCTCCATATGGCCCCATAGCCCCCTTACTGCCCCATAGCCCCATGTCCTTTTCCATCCTTTCAGGTCCAACAGAGCCTTGAGGCTCGTGCTGCCGCTGCCGCCACCGGCCCCCCCATTGGAGCCCCCCCAGTGCCATTTGTGGGTCCAGGTCAGTGTCATCACCCCCCCCCCCCCCAAGTGTTCCCCCCCAGTGCCTTTGGGGTGACCCCAAGGTATTCAACCCGCCTCTTATGTGTGTGTCCACCCCAGCTGTGTCCCCACAGAGGCCCCCAGTGCTGAGACCGGCGTTTGTGCCCCATGTGCTGCAGCGCTCGGGTGAGGAGGAGATGCAGGGTCAATGGGGGGAGACGGTGGGGCTCAATGGGGAGGACGTGGGGGGCTCAATGGGCGCAGATGGGGGGGATCAATGGGGAGGACACGGGGGGCTCAATGGGGGGGAGATGGGGGGATCAATGGGAAGAAGATGGGGGGATCAATGGGGAGGACACGGGGGGCTCAATGGAGGCTCAGTGGGGGGGAGATCAATGGGAAGAAAATGGGGGACTCATTGGGGGTCAATGGAGGGACTGACCCCTACCCCTTGTTTCCTCTCTTGCAGGTGCCCCCCGATCTCTTTCCCTACGCCCCCCTCCTGGGGCCATCGTGGGCACCCCCCTGGGGGCCCCCCCTGCCCCTCCACTGCTGATGGCCCCACCGCTGCAGCGCCCCCCCCCCGCGCCGCTCCCTCCGCTGGGGACCCCTTTGCGGGGCCCTGCCCCTGTGAGTGGGGGAGGTCAATGGGGGGCCATGGGGGAGGGTTGTGGGGCAAATGGGATGCTAACAGTGGAGATTAATGGGAGGGATATGGGGGGTTGAGGTGGGGGATGAGGGGATTTTGGGGGTTTATGGGGGGTTTTGGGGCAATTTGGAGGGTATTGGGGTTCAGTGGGACTTGATGGGGGGGTTAAGGTGGGGTTGGAGTGAAATGGGGTTAAAAGGGGGGTTGGGGGGGAACTGGGGGGTCCGTGGAGGTAAATGGGAGGCTTAAGGGCGTGTCGGGGGGTGAATGAGGGGTTATGGGGGTCCAAAGAAGGACTCTATGGGTCTGGAGGGGATCTGTCCATTTATAACCCTGTTTTGTCCCCCCCCAACAGGTAGGAAGTGCCCCCCCCGTGACCCCGCTGACTCCGTTGGTGGCCGGGCCCCGCCCCCCCCCTCCCACCCCTTCCCCCTCCCCTTCCACAGCCCCTCCCCCCCCTTCCTCCTCCTCCTCCTCCTCTTTGGGGGTTCCGGTCGCTGCCCCCCCCCCCAAGCTGACCCCCACCGTGATCCAGGCGGCGCCGACCGTGTACCCCCCCGCGCGCAAGAGCCAGGTGGGATCTCCCTTCCGGGTGGGGTGTGGGGAGGGGAGGGGGCGTGGCTTGTGCTTAACCCCGTTTCTTCCATTCACCCAATAGGAGGAGCCGCTGCCTCCCCCAACGCGGGCGCTGCCTCCCCCCCCCATGGCGGACATTGGGCCCTGCCTGCCCTCCGGCCACGCCCACCCAGTGGCCGCGCCCACCGTGGAGCCGCGCCCCGCCCACCCGGCGCCCCGCCCCCCGCGGAGAACACGCCCCCCCGAGACGCCCTTCCTGACCCCGGATGTAAGGGGGGGGGACGAACCCTATTGGGGAGTGGGCGTGGCTATGGGGAAGGGGGTGTCGCTATAATGGGGTTTGGGGCTTATGTGAGGGCTGAATTTCATTGGGTCGGGGCGAGGCCTTGGGGTTGTGGGCGGGGCTTGTTTGGCCTTATGAGGCAGTGGAGTGTCTGATTCGAGGTACGGCTGTGGGCGGGGCTTCCTTGGGGGCGTGGCTTAACGCAGAAGGGGGTGGGGTCGTGGCGATTGGGGCGGGGCCTGGCCAATGTGGGCGGCTCAAAGGCCATTGGGGAGGGGGCTTCAGAGGAGGAGGGGCTGAGGCCTGTGCCTAAGCCCCTCCCCCTGCGCAGGTGGGGGCGGAGCCATCTCCGGAGGACAAGAAGAAGGGGCGGGGGGAGCGGCTGAAGCGCTGCATCCGCACGGCGGCCGGGAGCAGCTGGGAGGACCCGAGCCTGCTGGAGTGGGATGCGGGTATGGAGCCCTCACCCCATAGCCCCACAGCCCCAGTTGCCGGCTTTCCATGTCCCATATGCTGTGTCCCACGTCACCAGATGACTTCCGAATCTTCTGCGGGGACCTGGGCAATGAGGTGAACGACGACATCCTGGCCCGGGCCTTCGGGCGGTATCCGTCCTTCCTGAAGGCCAAAGTGATCCGGGACAAGCGCACCGGGAAGACCAAAGGATACGGATTCGTGTCCTTCAAGGATCCCAACGACTACGTGAGGGCCATGAGGGAGATGAACGGTACCGCAGGGGACGGTGGGTTGGGGTTTGGGACCCATAAGTGACTCTCCCCAGACCCATAAGTGACCCCTGGCCTCTCCCGCAGGGAAGTACGTGGGCTCACGGCCCATCAAGCTCCGGAAGAGCATGTGGAAGGACCGGAACCTGGAGGTCGTGCGTCGGAAGCAGCGTGAGAAGAAGAAGCTGGGCCTCAGATGATGATGTCAGCGCTCGGGGGGTGTGGCCTCAGCCCGAGGTGGGTGGGGTTTGGGCAAGACGAGGCAGAGCCTGTGCCGGCGTATTAAAGGTTTTGGTGTTGGAAGGGGTGTTTGGTCCTCATTTGAATAGAATTACCATAAATTAGGTTTGTTTACATACCATTAACATAGCTTCGATCTGTTTTGAATACAATTAGCTTAACAGCGGTGCTATTTGCATATAGTTGATGTAACTGTTACTGCATTTACATCTACTTAGCGTACACCCAACCCAGTTAGGCGCCCGACAGTAGAACTGTGCATGATGGGACTTGTAGCACCCGAAGCGCACTGACAATGGCACTTTATTGACCCACAAGGCATGATGGGAGGTGTAGTCCAGGCACGACTCTCACAATGGAGCGCTATGGAGGGGGGTGCAGTGCATGATGGGAGTTGTAGTCTGGCAGGCGCCATCTTAGTTCCCCATCAATGGCTCTGGTGCGGGAGGGCGGCCAGGGCGGAGTCCACAGCCCTGGGGGGGGAGGGGGGGGGGAAGGATGAGTGTAAGGGGTGGGGCTTGAAGGGCATGGGCGGGGCTTAAGGGTTTGAGGGGCAAGGCCTCACCTCAGGCTCTGCCACAGGAGGCGGCGCCGGCGCCGGAGCAGCCGCAGGATGGGATCGACCGGAGCGGCTGTGGGGCAGGAAGGGATGTATGGGACCCATAAGTGATGCCCAGACCCATAATTGATCTCTAAGACCCATAAGTGACCCACAGACCTGGGCTGTTGTCCTTCAGGGGCCGCAAAGCACCCTGGGAGCTGCTGCTGATTGGCTGCGGGGTTTCCTCAGGGTCACGTGACATCAAAGATGGCTCTTCCCGCATAGGGCTGTGGTCCTCCAATGGCAACCCCTGGTGCAAAGTATCCTGGGAGCAGTTTCTGATTGGCTGTGAGGTCTCATGGGGGTCATGTGACTTCACACGTGGCACCTGCTGCAAAAACTCATGGGAGTTGCCCTCTTTAGGCCTTGAGGGCTCACTGGAGTCAGGTGATGTCCAACATGGCTGCCCCCACAATGGCTCCTGGGAGCTGCTCCTGATTGGCTGTGGGGCCTCACAGGGGCCACGTGATCTCGAAGGTGGCTCCTGCGGCAGATGCTCACGGGAGGCCTCCCTCGTAGGCTGCAAAGCATCATGGGAGCAGCACTCCATAGGCATTGATGCCTCGCAGGGGTCACATGATGTCCGACATGGCTGCCCCCACGGCAGCTCCTGGGTGCCTCTCCTGATTGGCTGTGCTGCACTAAAAGGATCACCTGACCTCCAGCAAGGCCGCTGCAGAGCGTCATGTGAGCCATCCTTCATTGGCTGCGAGGCCTGCTCCGCATCACGTGACCACAAAGAGGGTGTCCACCGCAGGGGCCCTGCAGCCTCCCAGGGGTCATGTGACGTCCAACATGGCTGCACACGTGAGAGCTCCTCTGCGGCCTCCGCCCTCCTCCGCAGCCGCCATTGAACGAGGGGGTCCCCGGTGGGGGCGGGGTCAGCGGAAGGGGCGGGGTTAGGACAGGGGGCGGAGCCTGCGCGGGGGGCGGGGCCTCGTCGGAGGAGGGCGGTGCTGGGGGGGAAGGGGTGGGGTGAGGAAGGGAGCGGGGCCTCGCTCTGGCCTCACCCCCTGTGCCACTGCTGACCAATGGAGAGCCCTCTTGAGGCTCACGTTGGGGTCACCCCTCCCTTACCTCCTCCGCAGCAGCCAATCCGTGCGCTCCTCCAAGCCCAGTTCCTGCTCAATGATGGGGGAAGGGGGGGGGGGTACGGCGTGACGTGGCAGTGACGCTGGAGTGACGTCACCGTCCCCCCAGCCCCACACTTATGGGTCCCGCCGAGGCCTCACCCGCTCCATGGGACGCGCAGGCCCCAACGCTCCTTCCCGGCAACCTCCGGTCTCTCGTTGCCAGGCAACGGCGCTTCCGGTTTACCCGGCACCGCCCACTCCGCAGCATGGCGGCGGCGGCGACCGCAGGACTACGACTCCCGTCGTGCTTTGCGCGGCATCGCGGGCGCTGATTGGTTCCAGGGGAAGACAGGCGGGAACGGCTGCCAATAGGAGGAGGAGCAGCGACTACAACTCCCGTCATGCGTTACGACCTGGACACCGCCCTCCCGCCCCTGATTGGTTGCTAGAGGAGATGGCCTGGGCTGGCGGCCAATCAGACGCCGAGGAGCGGCGGCGGCGGCTGAGGGGAGCGGAGCTGTGAGCGGCGGGAAAGGGGGGACCCATAGGGCCCCATAGAGCCCCATAGACCCATATAGGCCCCCCATAGGGCACCACAAGTTGCGGTCCCCCCCTCTTCCTGCGCCATGTTGGCCGTGAAGGTGAAGGTGGAGAAGCCAGGTGAGTGCGTGCGTGCCCCATAGCCCCCCAGAGCCCCCTATGGGAACCCCAATAATCCCCATTACCCCCAGTTCCTTCCATTACTCCCTTATTACCCCTCAAACCCCATTTAGGCACCCCATAATGCCCGTCCCACCCCATTGTCCCCCATTACCCCCCCTTTAACCACCCCATATCCCCCTAATCCCCCCCAAACCCCTTTAGGGACCCCATAATGCCACCCCACCCCATTGTCCCCCATTACCCCCCCTTTAACCACCCCATATCCCCCTAATCCCCCCCCCCAAACCCCTTTTAGGGACTCCATAATGCGCCCCCCCCATTTACGCCTATTACTGCCCCTTTAACCACCCCATATCCCCCCCATTACCCCACTATTTCCCCCCCCGCAACACCTTTAGGGACCCCATAATGCCCCCCCCCACATCCCCCCCATTACCCCCCTATAACCCACCAAAGCCCCCTTTAGGGACCCCATTTGCCCCCATTGTCCCCCGTTACCCCCCCTAAACCCCTCTATTGGGGTCTCCCTCAGCCATCCCATAATATCACACACACACACACCCCCCACCCCCCCCCGATAGAGCTGGAGGCTGCGGCTGCCCGGAGCCGCTTGGATTCGGTGCTGCAGGAGCTGATGGAGCGGAGCCGGGGGCCACGGTGAGGGGGGGACCCCAAAATGGGGGGGGGGGTAAGTCCTTTGGGGCCCCCCCCTTGAACCCGTATTGGTTTTGGGGTGCAGCGAAGCCATGGAGGAAGAGACGGGAAAAGCACCTGGAGATGCAATAACCAAGTAAGGGGGGGCCTGGGGGTTCACCCCACTTTTGGGGTCCCTTATGGGGGGTTCACCCCCTTTTGGGGTCCTATAAGGGCTCTATGGGAGGCAGCACCCCCCATTGTGCCCCATGGGGGGGGTCAGGACCCCCCAATTGCTTCCTCCCCCCCCCATTAACCCCTTGTTTCACTGCAGGGAAGCATCGCCCAGCGCCCCCGGGAAGAGGTGAGGGGCGGGGCTTAAAGGGGGTGGGGATTAAAGGGGGGGGCTTAGGGGAAGGGGCGCGGCCTGAGCCGTGCCCCCCCCCCAAGGCCCTCGGGCCGCTTCTCGCAGCAGCGCAGGAAGAAGCGCCGGGAGGCGGAGGAGGGCCCGGACCCTGTGCAGCGCCCCAGTGAGTGCATGGGGGGGACTATTGGGCTGCCCCATAGAGCTACAGGTGCCATGGACATGCTACGGGGTTGCCCTATAGCAGTGTGGGGGTGATGTTGGTGAAAGCTAATGGCTATGGGGCTGCCTCATAGCTCAATGGGGTGACACACATTGGCTATGGGACTGACCTGTAGCTGCTATGGGGCTGGGAGGGTCTCTGTGGGGCTGGAGACACTCTCCGCCAGCGTTCTATGGGGATGAGAAGGTCTCGATGGGGCAGGGGGTGCCCCACACATCGATATGGGTCTGGGAGGGTCTCTGTAGCTCAGGGATGGGTTCTATGGGGCAGAGTGTGTCTCTGTGGGGCTGAGGGTGTTCCTGTGGGGGGTGTTCTATGTGGTTGAGAGTGTCACTATGGGTTCTTCTCTGTATCTAACTTTGTTTCTTCCTTTCTTTCCCCCATTTCCTATGGCTTTGCCCCACACCTTGCTGTGGGGCTGCCCCATAGACACATACGTGATCAAGCTCTTCGACCGCAGCGTTGAGCTGGGGCAGTTCCCTGAGGGGACCCCCCTGTACCCCGTGTGTCGTGCCTGGATGCGGAACTGCCCCACAGCTCCTGCCCCACATCCTGCCCCCCACACGGCTCCAGCCCCACACACCGCTTCAGGCCCGCGACCGCAGGTCAGAGCCCAGCAGCCTTCTATGGGGCTTGGGGGCACCCCAATGTCTCGCTATGGGGCAGAGGGGGTGCAGGGCCCCCCTGACCCCCATATCCTTTGTGGTCCCCCCCCACCCCAGGCAGCTGCAGGGAATGTTGGAAAGGGGCAGGACATCTACGAGCTGCCCCCTCCCGCCCCCCCGGGGCCCCCCCGGATCCCCTCCCCCCTGGGGCCTGAGGAGGGGGCGCCCCCCCCAGACCAGGTAAAGAGGCACCCCCCCATCCCTGGATGACGTCGTCGTGGTGATGTCATCCCCTGACATCACACGTCCCCCCACCTGACCCGCAGCTGCCTGACCCCGCCCCCCCGATTTCATCTCTCATCTACAAGAACATGGAGCGGTGGAAGCGTGTGAGGCAGCGGTGAGGGGCGGGGCTCAACGAAGGGCGGGGCTTAACGGGGGGGGGGGCTAATGGAAGGGGGCGTGGCTAACGTTAAAGGGGCCGTGTCCACAGGTGGCGGGAGGCGGGGCAGCGGCAGCAGCAGCGCTATGGGCCCAGCCTGAGGCTGCTGCGCCTCATCTACGAGCGGCAATAGCCCCTATGGAACCAAGCCCCAGTGGAGCTACGTCCCGTATGGAGCCACACATTCCCTATGGAACCACGTGGGGGGGGGGGAATTTGCACCCATTGGACATGCCCCCTTTGCTGAGCCACGCCCCCTTAATAAAGGCGGTGGACCCTCACGTTAAAGCCTGGAGTGGTCAATCGGGGGGGATTAAGGAATGGGGGCGGACTTGGGGGGCACAAGGGGCAACTAAGGGTCACTTGGGAGTCAGGAGTTGCCCTTTAAGGTGCAATGGCCCTTAAAGTTGCCCCTTTAAGGCCATTGCCCCTTTAAGCCATTGCTCCTTTAAAGCTATTGCCCCTTTTAGCCATTGCCCCTTTAAGCGTGTTGCCCCTTTAAGCCATTGCCCCTTTAAGGCCATTGCTCCTTTAAGGCTACTGCCCCTTTAAGCCATTGCCCCTTTAAGGCTATTGCCCCTTTTAGCCATTGCCCCTTTAAGCGCGTTGCCCCTTTAAGCCATTGCCCCTTTAAGGCCATTGCCCCTTTAAGCCGTTGCTCCTTTAAGGCTACTGCCCCTTTAAGCCATTGCCCCTTTAAGGCTATTGCCCCTTTTAGCCATTGCCCCTTTAAGCCGTTGCGCCTTTAAGGTTATTGTCCTTTTAAGCCATTGCCCCTTTAAGCGCATTGTTCCTTTAAGCCGTTGCGCCTTTAAGGTTATTGTCCTTTTAAGCCATTGCCCCTTTAAGCGCATTGTTCCTTTAAGCCGTTGCGCCTTTAAGGTTATTGTCCTTTTAAGCCATTGCCCCTTTAAGCGCATTGTTCCTTTAAGCCGTTGCGCCTTTAAGGTTATTGTCCTTTTAAGCCATTGCCCCTTTAAGCGCATTGTTCCTTTAAGCCGTTGCGCCTTTAAGGTTATTGTCCTTTTAAGCCATTGCCCCTTTAAGCGCATTGTTCCTTTAAGCCGTTGCGCCTTTAAGGTTATTGTCCTTTTAAGCCATTGCCCCTTTAAGCGCATTGTTCCTTTAAGCCGTTGCGCCTTTAAGGTTATTGTCCTTTTAAGCCATTGCCCCTTTAAGCGCATTGTTCCTTTAAGCCGTTGCGCCTTTAAGGTTATTGTCCTTTTAAGCCATTGCCCCTTTAAGCGCATTGTTCCTTTAAGCCGTTGCCCCTTTAAGGCTCCTCCCCTCCGCTCTCGGCCCCAATTAAAGGCGCCGCGTCTCTCTCCACTTCCGCCCCCCCCGTCATGTGGTTGCACCGCGTCCCCGCCGCCATCGCGGCCCTTCGGGGCTACGGCACCGCGGGGAGGCGGCTGCTGCTGCGGCAGGTCCCGGGGGGAAGGGGGTCCCGTGGGGGGCCCTGGGGGGGGTGGCCGTGGACGGGGTTCGGGGGCGGGGGGGTGACCCGGAAGTAGGGGTTGGATAAAAGTCATGTGATGGGGGGGGGGGGGCTGGGGGGGGCATACTAGGGGTCACCGGGGGGTCATAAGGGGGGTGTCACATTATTATATGGGGATCATATGACGTTAGCATTGGAGTGCTGTGTTTTCCCCTGTTGTTCCCATGATGTTCCTGTGTCGTTCCCATGTTATTCTTCTGTTGTTCCCACGTTACTCCGTGTTGTTCCCATGTCGTTCCCATGTTATTCCTCTGTCATTCCCACGTTATTCCATGTTGTTCCCATGTTGTTCCTGTGTCATTCCCGTGTTATTCCTCTGTCATTCCCATGTTATTCCGTGTTGTTCCCATGTCGTTCCTGTGTTCCCGCAGCTCTTCGAGCCTTCTCCTCCTCCTCCTTCACGTATGTGCTGGCGGACGCGGGCTCGGGTGACGCTGTCATCATCGACCCCGTGCTGGAGACGGTGCCCAGGGACACGCGGCTGCTGCGGGAGCTGGGGCTCAGCCTGCGCTACGCAGGTGAGGGACCCCATGGACCCCCAGAGACACCCATACTCCATAGACCTATAGACAGTAGTCCCATAGAACCCCATAGACACCCACAGACTCCCACAGACACCCATAGACACCAATAGACACCCAGAGACAGTCATAGGTAGACACCCGTACAACCCCATAGACACCAGTAGACACCCATAGAACCCCATAGACACCAATAGACATCCATAGAACGTCATAGACACCCATAGACCCCCATAGACTGCCATAAACACCCATAGAACCTCATAGATACCCATGGACACTAATACCCATGGACACCCATGGAACCCCATAGACACCAATAGACACCCATAGACAGACACCCAGAGACACCCATAGGCTCTCATAGAACCCCAGAGACACCCATAGACACCCATAGATCCCCATAGACACCCATAGACACCATGTAACGCTCCATAGACACCCACAGACCCCTATAGACACCACGTAACACCCCATAGACAAGACACCCAGAGACACCCATAGAACCTCATAGACACCCACAGACACCCATAGACCCCCACAGGTGCCCATAGACACTGCATAGACACACGTAGCACCCCACAGACACTGCGTAGACACCCATAGTGCCCCACAGACAGCCATAGATACTCATAGCCTCCCACAGACACTGCGTAGACACCCCATAGCACCCCATAGACACCCTATCCATATCCTATAGCACCCCATAGAGCCCCATAGACAGCCACAGACAAACCATAGACCCCCATAGACACCCCATAGTCTCGACCCTGCCCCTAAACCCACTCTAAGGGGGCTTCGGACCCCTCCCTGTGCCCTGTATGGGGGCTTGGACTCCCCATTAACCTTATAGAGGCCTTGGTCCCGGCCTGGCCCCCCCACCGCTGAGCCCCCGTTGGTCTCTCCCGGTGCTGACCCCGCCCCCTTTTCCCTCCCGCAGTGAACACCCACTGCCACGCGGATCACGTGACCGGGTCTGGTGCGCTGCGCGCGGCGCTGGGGTGCCGCAGCGCCATTTCGCGGGAGAGCGGCGCAAGCGCGGACGTGCTCCTGCGCGATGGGGACGAGCTGCGCTTCGGAGCCTTCGTGAGCCCCATAGAGACCTATAGGGACCCATAGGCACCCATAGAGACCCATAGGCACCCATAGAGACCCATAGAGACCCATAGGGACCCATAGGCACCCATAGAGACCCATAGGCACCCATAGAGACCCCATAGAGACCCATAGGCACCCATAGAGACCCATAGAGACTCATAGGGACCATAGAGACCCATAGGGACCCATAGGCACCCATAGAGACCCATAGGCACCCATAGAGACCCCATAGAGACCCATAGGCACCCATAGAGACCCCATAGAGACCCATAGGGACCCATAGAACCCCATAGAGACCCATAGGCACCCATAGAGACCCCATAGAGACCCATAGGGACCCATAGAACCCCATAGAGACCCATAGGCACCCATAGAGACCCCATAGAGACCCATAGGCACCCATAGAGACCCATAGGGACCCATAGAACCCCATAGAGACCCCATAGAGACCCATAGGGACCCATAGAGACGCATAGGGACCCATAGAACCCCATAAAGACCCCATAGGGACCAATAGAGACCCATAGGGACCCATGGAGACCCATAGAGAACCATATAGAACCCATAGACATCCTGTAGAGACCCGTAGAGACCCATAGAGATCCATAGAGACCCCACAGAGACCCGAGACCCATAGAGACCATAGCACCCATAGGGACCCTATAGAGACCCATAGTGACCATAGAGAGCCATAAAGACCCATAGGCAGATGCCCCATTGAACCCTATGTGGGGAGACACCCATTGATCCCTTTGGGGGGGCCATTGACACCTGTGGGAACCCACTGAGCCCTAGCAAGGACACTCCTCATTGAATCCTATGGGGGGGCCCACATTGAACCCTATGGGGGGGCTGTGGTGCGGGCGGAGCCTTCTTAGGCCACGCCTCCCCCCCCCCCCTGCAGGCGCTGCAGGCACGTGCCAGCCCCGGGCACACGGCCGGGTGCTTGACGCTGGTGCTGGACGATGAATCCATGGCGTTCACCGGGGACGCGCTGCTCATCCGGGGCTGCGGCCGCACCGACTTCCAGCAGGGCAGGCACTGGGATGGGGATGGGGATGGACATGGACTGGGATAGAGTGGGAGGGGATGGGGATGGACTGGGATAGAGTGGGAGGGGATGGGGATGGACTGGGATAGAGTGGGAGGGGATGGGGATGGACTGGGATAGAGTGGGAGGGGATGGGGATGGACTGGGATAGAGTGGGAGGGATGGGGATGGACTGGGATAGAGTGGAAAGGGATTGGGATGGACTGGGGTAGAGTGGGAGGGGATGGGGATGGACTGGGATAGAGTGGGAAGGGATGGGGATGGATTGGGATAGAGTGGGAAGGGATGGGGATGGACTGGGGTAGAGTGGGAGGGGATGGGGATGGACTGGGATAGAGTGGGAGGGGATGGGGATGGATTGGGATAGAGTGGGAGGGGATGGGGATGGATTGGGATAGAGTGGGAGGGGATGGGGATGGACTGGGATAGAGTGGGAGGGGATGGACTGGGATAGAGTGGGAAGGGATGGGGATGGATTGGGATAGAGTGGGAAGGGATGGGGATGGACTGGGATAGAGTGGGAGGGGATGGGGATGGATTGGGATAGAGTGGGAGGGGATGGGGATGGATTGGGATAGAGTGGGAGGGGATGGGGATGGATTGGGATAGAGTGGGAGGGGATGGACTGGGATAGAGTGGGAAGGGATTGGGATGGACTGGGATAGAGTGGGAGGGGATGGGGATGGACTGGGATAGAGTGGGAGGGATTGGGGATGGACTGGGATAGAGTGGAAAGGGATTGGGATGGACTGGGATAGAGTGGGAGGGGATGGACTGGGATAGAGTGGGAAGGGATTGGGATGGCCTGGGATAGAGTGGGAGGGGATGGGGATGGACTGGGATAGAGTGGGAGGGGATGGGGATGGACTGGGGTAGAGTGGGAGGGGATGGGGATGGACTGGGATAGAGTGGAAAGGGATTGGGATGGACTGGGATAGAGTGGGAAGGGATTGGGGGGCACTGGGAGGAGCTTGTTGCCATGGTGACACCCCTGCCCCCCCCCCCCCCCCCCCCCCAGGCTGTGCCCGCACCCTGTACCGCTCCGTGCATGAGAAGATCTTCACCCTCCCCGATGAGTGCCTGGTCTACCCCGCGCACGACTACAATGGTGGGGGCACTTGTGGGTCACACATGGGTCACCTGCGGGTCACTTGTGGGTCACACATGGGTCACCTGCGGGTTACTTCTGGGTCACTTGGGGGTCACTCATGGGTAACTTGTGGGTGGCTTGTGGGGCACTTGGGGGTCACTCGTGGGTCACTTGGTCACTTGTGGGTCACTTATCGGTCACTCATGGGTCACTCGGTCACTTGAGGGTCACTCGTGGGTCACTCGAGGGTCACTTGTGGGTCACTTATCGGTCACTCATGGGTCACTCGAGAGTCACTTGTGGGTCACTCGAGGGTCACTCGAGGGTCACTCGTGGGTCACTTATCAGTCACTCATGGGTCACTCGAGAGTCACTTGTGGGTCACTCGTGGGTCACTTATGGGTCACGCCTCCCCATAGGGCACACGGTGTCCACGGTGGGGGAGGAGCGGCGCCTGAACCCCCGCCTCACGCTGAGCCCCGACGCCTTCGTTGCCCTCATGGAGGGGCTGCAGCTGCCCCGCCCCCGACGCATGGGTAAAAGGGGCGGGGCTGAAGGGGAGGGGGAGGGGCTAAAGGGAAGGGAGCGGGGCTCTGACGGCTCTCCCCCCCTCCTCCAGACGAGGCTGTTCCAGCCAATCTCCGCTGCGGGATCCAGGATGAGCCTGTTTAGCCCCGCCCCCTCTGGCTAAGCCCCGCCCCCAGGGATAAGCGCCGCCCCCCAGTAAAAGACCAGTCCCCCCCTTGTTCCACCGCAGCCCTTTATTGCCCCATAGCGGCAGATGTGGGGGGAAGGATGTGGGGTGCCCCATAAGTGCCCCACAGTCTAAAAGGAGGCCTGGAACGTGCACTTATGGGGCAGCTTATGGGTTGGTGGGGGGGTCACTTATGAGGCACCCTATAAGTGCCACTTTTACTTGGGGATGCCCCATTGAACGGAAGGGGGCAGGAGGGGCACTGATGGGGCAATCTGTGGGGTGGGGAGGTGCCACTTACGGGGCACCTGTCCCATGCAGTGCCCCACTTATGGGGCGCCCCATAGAGGCCTTAGAGGAGGAGGAGCAAGAGGAAGGGGAGGGGCCACAACCCCGCCCCCAGAGGGTGGCTCTGCCCCACAGGGCCCTTGACGCCATCTTTGCGCTCCAGGGGGTGCCCCGCGCGTCCGGCGGCTGTGCTGGCATCAATGGCAGCTCCGTGGTGGTCAACAGCAGCCACGGCTGCCATATCGCCTGTGGTGGCCGCCATATTGGCCATGGTGGCCGCCATGAGACTTTTGGTGGCCGCCATACTGGATTTGGTAGCAGCCCCATTGGCTACGGTAGGCACCATGCTGCCTCTGGAGGCAGCCACATTGCCTTTGGTGGCCGCCACGTTGGCTACAGTGGGCGCCATATTGCCCGTGGAGGCGGCCATCTTGGTTTTGGCAGCAGACGCGTTGCCCGTGGAGGCGGCCATCTTGGTTTTGGCAGCAGACGCGTTGCCCGTGGAGGTGGCCATCTTGGTGGTGGCCTTGTCCCCCCCAGTGCTCCCATTGCCTTTGTTGGGCCCGGCCGTGGGGCCGTGGGGCTGCGGGAGGAGCTCGAGCCGGGGCAGGTCGGGGGCGAAGAGGCTGCGGTTCCCTACGGGGCCGTTGCAGAGGTCCCCGGCGCAGCAGGAGCCCTCCAGCCCCACGGCGTCGTCCCCTCGGGGCTCCGGGGTGCAGGTCGGGTCCCGCACGCAGCCCCGCACCTCCCGCCACCGCCGGGACCCACCTGCCAAGGGGGGCGATAGCGGACGTCAGCCCCATAGCTGCCCCATAGGGGAGGTGTTACAGCCACCAGGCCCCATAAGGGACCTATAGGGCGCTATGTGGTCACCATGGTGACCAATGATGCCTTACCCCCCCCCCGCTCTCCCATTGGCTCTCACCCAGCGTCACGGTGACGTTGCCATGGAAACAGCCGCGGAGGTCGCCATAGCACTCCACGATGGTGGGGGCGGAGCAGGGCCCGTCGTCAGGGCAACCAAAGCAGCGCAGCCCATTGGGTGCCTGGGCCGTGACGTTGTCTGGGGGGGCGGGGCCAGGGATGCTCCTTATACCAACAATTCTCACCCCCATTGCCCCCCATTGCCCCCATTACCACCGTTACTCCCATTGCCCCCCATTACCCCTATTATCCCCATTGACCCCATTATCCCCATTGACTGCATTACCTCCATTACCCCCATTACCCCCATTCCCCCCGTTACCCCCCATTCCCCCATTGCCCTCTTTACCCCCCATTACCCCCCCTACCCCATTACCCCCATTCACCCCATTACCCCCCTTACCATTACCCCCATTACCCCATTACCCCCTTTACCCCCATTCACCCCATTACCCCCTTTACCCCCATTCACCCCATTCACCCCGTTGCCCCCATTGCCCCCATTCACCCCATTACCCCCATTCACCCCCATTCACCCCATTCACCCCATTACCCCCATTCACCCCCATTCACCCCGTTGCCCCCATTCACCCCATTGCCCCCATTCACCCCATTCACCCCATTGCCCCCATTCACCCTGTTGCCCCCATTCACCCCATTCACGCCATTACCCCCATTCACCCCATTCACCCCCATTCACCCCATTACCCCCATTCACCCCATTCACCCCGTTGCCCCCGTTGCCCCCATTCACCCCATTCACCCCATTGCCCCCATTCACCCCATTGCCCCCATTACCCCCATTCACCCCGTTGCCCCCATTGCCCCCATTCACCCCGTTGCCCCCATTGCCCCCATTCACCCCGTTGCCCCCATTCACCCCATTCACCCCATTGCCCCCATTCACCCCATTGCCCCCATTGCCCCCATTCACCCCGTTGCCCCCCCGTTGCCCCCCGTTACCGGGCAGGGGCAGGGCGCTCTCTGTTCCCATGGGCAGGGCCCCGTTGCAGGCCTCGGCCCCCCCCCGGCACTGGCGCCTCCGCACGAAGACCACGACCCCCGGGAGCTCGAGGGCGCGCGCCAGGGACCCGGGCTGGCCCCGCCCACAGCCCCGCCCCCCCAGCGCCAGCCGCCCGTGGCCTGCGGGGAACAGCGCCCCCTGCCGGTGAGCGCGGGCCTCGGCTTCCAGCCCCACATCTCCCCATAGCTCAGCCCTGCCCCACATCGCCCCACAGGGCAAAGCCAAGGGTTCCAGCCCCACATCTCCCCATAGCTCAGCCCTGCCCCACATCGCCCCACAGGGCAAAGCCAAGGGTTCCAGCCCCACATCTCCCCATAGCCCACCCTCTGCCCCATATTGCCCCATAGAGCAAAGCCAGGGGTTCCAGCCCCACGTCTCCACATAGCCCACCCCTTGCCCCACATCGCCCCACAGAGCAAAGCCAAGGGTTCGAGCCCCACATCTCCCCATAGCCCACCCCCTGCCCCACATCGCCCCACAGAGCAAAGCCAAGGGTTCGAGCCCCACATCTCCACATAGCCCACCCCCTGCCCCATATTGCCCCATAGAGCAAAGCCAGGGGTTCCAGCCCCATATCTCCCCATAGCCCACCCCCTGCCCCACATCGCTGCATAGAGCAAAGGCAGAGGTTCTAGCCCCACATTGCCCCTTAGATCAAAGCAAGGGGTTCCAGCCCCACATCTCCCCATAGAGCAAAGCCAGGCTTCCCAACCCCGCATTGCCCCATAGAGCACCAGCCCCACATCTCCCCATAGCCTACCCCCTGGCCCACATCTCCCCACTCACTCCATGTGACACTGGCCAAGGCCTCAGCGCAGACGTTGCTCTCCGGGGGGCAGGTGATGTTGATGGCCGCATGGCAGGTCCCATCCTCTGCCCCACAGCTCAGGCACTGCAGCCCCACAGCGCCTGCCCCACACGTGTGTGTGTGTGTGTGGGGCGGGTGCTCACAGGCCTCACCCTGCCCCTGGGGATGCGTCTCGGGCGACGCTTGACCTGTCCCAGCCTGTCCCTGCCCGACCCACAGCACAGCCCCTGCCCCATAGAACCTGCCCCACAGCCCTCCAGCACACCTCTGCCCCACAGCTCTGAGGCCTGACAGCCCCTTCCCCATAGTCTCTGCCCCATTGCCCCTAACACTGCTTTGTTCCTGCCTCATAGCAGCTCACCCCCATAGCCCTGAATCCAGACCACCCCCCCACCCCATAGCTCCTGCCCCATAGCCCCCTGACACCCCTCCCTTCCTGCCCCATAGCAGCTCAGCCCCCCCATAGACTTTAACTTTGAGAACCTCCCTGCCCCACAGATCCAGCCCCACAGCCACCTGACAGCCTCTGCTACTGCCCCATAGCAGCTCAGCCCCATAGCCCTGTGCCCTGAAACCCCCCTGCTTCACAGCCCCCATGACACCCCTCTGCCCCATACCCTCAGCCCCACATACCTGAGTCCTGACACCCCCCACCACAGCTCCTGCCCCCCAAGTGCCCCCTTCTCCCCCTTAAGTGTCATGGCTGAGCCTGCCCCCCTTATTACCTGGCAGCAGCAGTAACAGCAGAGGGGTCCCCCCTGTAGCCCAGCCCCACATCTTGGCCTGACCCGTGCCATGGGGATGAGCTGTCCTCATTTATGGCAGCGAGGAAGAGGTGGGGCTGGGGTGGGGGAGCCCCGGGGCTCCACGCCCCATAGCTCTGTGCCCGCCCCATAGATGGGCTCCCGCTCCATAATGCCCCACAGAGAAGATCCCACATCACAGAGTGGCTCCCTGCCCCATAGAGCAGCACCTTCCCCATGGCCTGTCGCCACACCCCATAGTACAACTGCTGCCCTATAGCACAGCTGCTGCCCCACAGTGCAGCTCGTGCCCTATAGAAGAGCTCCTTGCCCCATTGCACAGCCCCGTGGCAGCACAGGGGATCTTTTGCCCGTAGCTCTGCCCCATAGCTCTGCCTCATACCAGAGCACCCACATCCCTGCCCCATAGCGCTGCCCCATAACCCCACCCCACATTTCTGCCCTGTGGCCATTCCCATAGCCCTGCCCCATAGCTCTGCCCCACAGCCACACCCCACAGCCCAGCCCAGAGCTGGGTGAGTCACCCCCCAGGTGAGTCACCGCCCATAGCAGGGGTGGAGGGAGGGGCAGCGCCTCACCCTGCCCCACATGAGACCCTCCCCACCCCCTCACACCTGAACCAATGAGCGTAACCCAGCATCATAGCCTTGCCCCACAGCAGAGCACCCATAGCCCTGCCCCACAGCATACACTCCATAACCCTGCCCCATAGCATAAACCCCATAAACCTGCCTCATAGAATAAACCCCACAGCCTTGCCCCATAGCAGAGCGCCCATAGCCCTGCCCCATAGCAGGGTACCCATAGCCCTGCCACACAGCATAGAGACAATAGCCCTGACCCATAGTAGAGCACCCACAGCCCAGCCCCATAGCAGAGCACCCATAGCCCTGCCCCATAGCATAAACCCCATAGCCTCCCCCCCCCACCCCACTGGGGGGGCATTCCAGGTCCTCAGTGGGGTGGGGGACCCAGACCGCCAGAACCCCTGTAATTCCCCATAGACGGGCTCAGGGGGGACCGGGGGATAATGGAAGGCAATAGGGGGGCAATGGGAGGTGTCAGCTGCTCTGGGACCCCCTCAGAGCCACTTCGGTTCCCTCACTTTTGCCTTAGAAAGTACTGGGAAAGAGGGAATTTCATCCCAATGGGCTGAACTGGGCTGAACTGGGCTGAACTGGGCTGGGCTGAGCTAAACTGGGCTGGGCTGAGCTAAACTGGGCTGGGCTAAACTGGGCTGAACAGGGCTAAACTGGGCTGGGCTAAACTGGGCTGAACAGGGCTAAACTGGTCTGAACAGGGCTAAACTGGTCTGAATTGGGCTAAAGTGGGCTGCGCTGGGCTAAACTGGAGTATACTGGGCTAAACTGGTCCAAACTGTGCTGTGTTGGGCTGTATTGGTCTGAACTGAAGGCCACCATCATCACCACCACCCCACCCACCAATACTGGCCCAGTCTGCAACAGCCCTCTTCCTCCTTCAAAGCTCCTCAACATTATGTTTTCCTGTTCCAATCCCATAGTAGAGTCCAGCACTGAGCCTCTCCTTCTCTCCAGGTCCTAGGAGTACAATAGAGACAAATGACCACAGTGCTTGGAAAAAGTGACCTCAGCAACTATCATTTCTCTCTCCTGTTATTTCACTACTCACCCACTAAACTTGAAAGGTTTTCCATCCCTTTATTCTAACGTGTACACCCCTTGGAAAACACTAACAAGAAAGAAAAAATACAGTTTTATGAAAATGACAAGACCAAGAAATAAGTTGTTACTTGGGTGTTCTAAGCATGGCTCACCTTGGCTAAATAACCTGAATGTCTTTTTTCACTTAAAATGGGAAAGCAAGTCTGAGCCAGGGAGTCTGTGTTAGCCTCAATGTATGATTTGTGTGGATGTGTGAGTCAGTGAATGCCAGGTTGAGCCCAAGTCTGAGCTGGAGTGTCTGTGCAGTTTAAATACATGAGACTGAACCAGTCTGTGTGGAAGCAAACCCATGTGAGTCTGAGCCCCAGAACCTGAGACAGAAAAACCCTGTGTGGTCTGAAACCAAATATAATTCAGAGCCTAACTGCATAAAAGTGAAGCTGTGCAGTCTGTGAGTTCTGAATGTAAATGTAAGGCAGAAAAAGAAGGCCAAAAAGGTAAAGCCAGAAACCAAAAGAGCCAGCTGTACCTTGTCAGGCTGTATTTACCTCAGCTGCTGGTTTGACCCACCCCTGAGCCAGGGCTGTGAGGGAGGGGCTGTGGGTAGGGCCTGGGGTATATAAGGTACAGCTTCCAAACAAGGAGCTTCTATAGGGTTTGGCTCTCTTGAAGGTAAGGTGTTTGGGAGTTTTGTGGATATCATGCTTTGTGCTTTGTTTCTGCTTTTGTTTTTGGAGCTCTTTGAAATGATTTTTTCCTAGCTAAATATTTTAAGCTACCTTAGTATTTATGTGTGCATGTACCAGTAAACTCTTTTGTGCTGTGGTTTTCTTTGAGGTGCTATTGTTATTGGTGGTTTTGAGCTAAGCAGATTTTTTTGGTTGCTCTCAGGCACAGAAGTTATGGCAAGGTTTGTTTTTGTTCTCATTCCTTCTCTTTTCTCTCTGTTTGTTTTTGCATATGATGGTCATGGTTGTGGTTACTGAATGTATATACTAGTTATATGACTAGGAGATTTTTCAAGGGTGCCTTTGGGTCTGGGCTCTTATAAAAGCTAACTTGAATGCTTAGGTTTAAAGAAGACCAAAGCAGAACATTAATGTTGTTTTGGGATGTAGAAGCTGTTAAAGAAATGGTGATTTTTGGCAGGGAAAGGTTTAAGAGTGGTTTTTAGCTTGTTTATTTCTCACTTTTAAAGTATAGAGGGCGCTGGTTCTTTACAGTCTGATGTAGTTAGTATTTCAGGGTGTTTGCCTCTAAAATGTTATGTGGCTGGATTTCTGGTTTCTGTTCTTTTTTTTCTAACTGCTGTTACTGCAGATGATGGAAATGAATTGGGTGGGTGCAGTAAACACCCAGGTGCATAGTATGGGATATCTGCGCAGTAATTTTGGCTTGAGACTTAAAACACTATAAAAATTAAGCAGAAAGACTAGTTTTTGTGAGAACAGGGGTGGGAACAGGATCAGGATAGCAGGAATAGGTCTGAAATGTGCCATAGGGATGGGAAGAAGAAAGTGGGGCATTTTATAGCACGATCTTACAGTGGGTTGGGTAGTACAGCTTGTCTGCTCAATGAGTGTATTTGATTGTGATCTGTGTTGGTGCTTCCACATCACTGCTAGGACTAAAGGTGCTAAGCCTGCTCTTTAGACCTTGTTCTTTATATCCTGACTGCTTGTGTTGGTTGTTTAAAAGTGTGTCAGGCATTTTTTTTCAGTCTTTACAAGCATAAAGCAGAGCAGAGCTTTTCCTGCAGTCAACCCATTAGTAGTCTTGTGGGGCATTGCTCCAGGTTGCTTTTCCAGCTGTGAGGAGGTAAGGGGTTTGTGTGTGTGTGCGGTAGCTTAGAATTGAGAAGAACATGTTCAGTGCTTTTAGTGTTTGTGTTTGCCATTGCAGGTCTTGCCCTGGACCTCTGGAGTCGGATGAGAGCTTGAGGTGAGTGAGGGAGGTAAGGAGAAGGATTGTGGGGTCGGTCACTTTTGCAAGAACCGTGGTCATTGTCTTCTGTTGCACTCCTAGAGCACGGAGGGCAGGAGAGACCCCAGGTCACTCTGTGGAACGGCTTTGGGACAGGCAAGCGCAGTGTTGAGGAGCTTTGGAGGAGGCCGAGGTTTGGTAAGGAACAGGCCGGGCGGGATGGCTGGGGTGGTGGAGATGAGGGCCACCACAGGCTGTTCCCTGTTTTTGGTTTGTTTCTGCAGATGATGAAGAGGAACTTGTCAAGGTCTGCAGCATGGCTGGCGTCTGCCGTGGGAGTTCTGAGCAGTGAGGTTGCCTCGAGACGCATGGGACTATGCAAGCTAAGTAGAGGGATTGCTTTAGGAGGCAAGGGGGTGGGAGACAGCGTCAGAATGGCAGGAAGGCGTTTGAGATGTATCATTCCAATGTAGTGTTTGATCCAGAATGTCTGAGAAGACGCTTGGAGGTGGCTGGGAGGGGAATGGTCAGTTTTAGTGAAGGTAGTGCCTGGGAGTTAAATACCAGGATGAAAAGGTGCCATTTGTGGGGCTTAAGTCTGGGGTGTCGTGTCAGGGTCAGTAGGTAAGGGTCCGTGGTGAAGCAGGCAAGGGTGGGAAAGTAGTGTTTGTTGCCTTTGGCTCCTCGCAGAGAGTTGTGCTGTGGCTGCTTCAGGCGAGGTCCAGCTTTGGTTCCTAGCCAGAGAGTTGTGCTTTAGAAGTGCCTGGAGAAGTCCTGAGCCTGGGAGACCTTCCTAGATACGGTTGGCCGCTTCTTGCGACGTGGGCTGGCCCCCTGCGTAGCAACGAGCGTGCGTTTTTGTGAGTATGAAAGC